CGAATTGCGTTTTACGATTTTTTTTTCATGTTGCGGAATAAGACCGTATCCATTATCAGAATCAGGAAAATGAGAAGGAACGATTGCGCGAATATCTATTGTCACCCTCGTGTGAGGACGGATAATAGAGCCCACTGTGAGAAGGAGGCGACTGCTTTTCTCCGCCAGAAACGAGGGAGAGGAGGGGAGGGAGAGGGGGATCTTTCACTTCCCATCGAAGAAAAGCACTTCTCGATTTGGACAGTTGATGCATCCTCGAGAACCCGTCCGTCCAAATTACATCCATCCACGTCCAATCCATAAAGTAAGACGTTCAATTGTCGGTTCTCATCGTTATCGACATTCCGCCAACATAGATGCGCTTTAATAAACATAAAACTTACGCGTGTACTGTAAAGATGCTCAACATCTTTCCATGCCGAACGTATACGTACAAAGGAAGGGAAATCCAGCTCTCCGCGAACGTACGGTAATTTTCACGATCGCCCATGCATCGCGAATACGAGTTTCCAGGAAACAATCAGAATTTTGATTACGGCTGACGAGGTACACCGTTCGCTTTTTAAGACGCGCATGACAGACGCGTAAGAATTATTTTTAGAAGGAACGGCTTGAAAAATCACGTTTACCTCGTTCGATATCCATAGAATATTCGGTAGCTCGTATACGATACGGATCTCGACATTGACGTAATCGCGTAGACCTGTTCTCGATGACGCAACGTGACAGTCTTGCGGAGGACACCTAGATTTAAAGAAAGAAGAACACCTTACTCTTGGTCCGAAACCAACGTGTTACATTCGTGCAGAATATTGCAATCGCACCGAACATCAACTCTAAACAAATGTGTCTCTCCAAGCGATTCATAAAATGGAAACATTAATAAAATTATTTAGATTTTTGGAAAGATTAATAAAAATTGGAAAATAGTGATAAATCGCAAAAAAAAAACTGGGACAAAAGTAAACTCTCAGTCACCATATGCAAGGTCATTATACAGAGTTATAACTAAACAAGTAAATTCAAGCAAAAAAAATTAATAACCGAAATAATCGACAATCAATAATTATAACTCGATGTGTACTCGTTCGTCAATTGTCGTTCTCGTATTTGACAGAATACGCTTTATGAACAAACACATTAAGTTATACTTATTGATTATCAGTCATTTTAATTATTAATTTTTATCCATTAACAATGCTCATGGTATTTCTGACTTGCTACACATGGATGTTTATTTATTGTTGTATTAATTAAAGAGTCCGTTACATTTTTAATTGTTAGAGTTATAACTCTGTCCAGGAAAGACACAATCAATTCTTGTATGCGGTGACTGCAGAGGGCTTACTCTTGTTGCAGTCTTTATTCTCGGTGATTTGCCTTTCGAGAGGTGGCGATCGCTTACCAAATCGATTAAAACCGATTTAGATTTATATTGTTCTGGGGGATTTGAACCTGGGCCTTTGGCACAGAAAACCGACGCAGCTCTCGCGCCACGATCGCCACGGATGTATAGTTGTGTAAACAAGAATAACAAATGTAATCCGTTGTGTAAATGCGACAGTAATATGTATCGAAATCGAGGTAATGTTATTTCAAAATACGGAGAACACATCGAAGGCTGAACGGCTTATTTCTTGTAAAAAAACATAATGATTTAATATGCTCCGTAAAAAATTATCTGTTAAATAAGGTGGGAAAAAGATATCGGACGTATTTCATTATTGTGCTTGATATATAGACTTCCGTCTATCGCAGCGCGGGATTGAATGCAAAGTTAGATTAGATGAATCTCGTCCAGTCATTACACGCTTATTTATAACCCGTCAGTCGCAACGCGTATGGAAAATGCGTGGAAATCCTTATGCATGCAGCTTTTTATAGCAAATTGCCTCGTAAATTGCCCCAAGGTTTAAAACGCCGCGCGACGTTGAAGTGAAACGGACGGAGTTTGTGCTACTAGCTGATGAGATTAAATCAAGTAATCGATATGCGGCATACGAGTAGCATGTATTATGTTGATAAACAGCTTCGGTGGGCTTGAAAGGAATCTTAATGCGTATCTGCATATCTCGCACATGACACATTAGAATTTAAGGTTCCATTTTACGACGCGCTGGGTATTGTTTGCAAATACAGGCGCGGATTTTTGTGTCGGAGTCACGTTTATGAGAGGCGAGCACGACAGGCTTGCTTCTTTAAAACGGGCAGAAATATCCGAGGCTTCCCGTAACCTGTCGTTAACCCAGTTAGAAATGCCGTTCCAGCCACACGCACCGTCCGCTTTTAGTCCGTTTCGCAATCATTCCAAGACCGACGAACTGATTCCCTAGATAAGAGCGCAACAATTAATGTCGCAATTGCAATCAATTGTGCCCATAACTTGTAGGATTGAGCGGGAAAAAATGCTGGCTTTGCACATCAATTGACACGTTCATAAAAACACATCAACGAACTTATACTTCTCTCTCTCTCTCTCTCTCTCTCATAAAATTTAAAATGAATCAAGTACAAAAAATTAATAAATAAATCATAATAAATTAATAAATAAAAATCCAGTTTAAAAGCAATATTCGCTGATCATAATTTTTTTTGCCATACACGGAGAGAATTTTTTTTAAATTTATTCTGCAAATCATGTTAATTATGAGACAACATAGTATTTAGGCAAATTTTACTGTGCACTACAATAAGATTTCGCAGTAAAATTTATTGTAGTGCACAGTAAAATTTACCTAAATACTATATAGTCTCACAATTAACATGATTTTCAGGGTAAATTTTAAAAGAAAATTCTCTCCGTGTATACGCCGCGCGAAAGGTCAAAAGATAACGATTCCGCGAGATTAAACTCCCGACTAATTCGACGTAAGATTTTTCCTGACAAGTCCGAGAAGTTTGTCCCTCCTTGAAAATTCATTCATGTCACTTCGCTTCCGCGGTTGCTGACCACGCGAAATTTTGCGGGGCGGAAGGTGCCGATCGACCGAATGAAGAGGAGGCGGACGTTTAATTGTGAGCCTCGGCGTAGGAGGAGAAGCGCGCGCTGAAAGAACGGTGAGATAGTTTTCAACCGTAAGCTCGTACGTAACCGAGTTCGTCACTTACACGTAACGACGACAATTACGCCGGCGACGTAATCAATCCGGAAAGACAAGGGGGTATACACGAAGATGAATTACGACCGTTCTCGCATCCCTCTTCTCACAGGTTCTTCTCCCGCGAATGTAGCCATTGAATGAAAGTTAATATTGAATGAGAAATAATGTGAGAATCGAAGAGAAAGTATTTGGAATGTGAAAGAAAAATATAGGCTCAATGAAAAAATGAGGAAAACGAATCGATTTAAGTCATTATACCTTAATTGCAGCGTCGCCGAGAATCCCCGTCAGGAAAATGTCAGATTTTCGCGAAGAATTTTTAATTGACACTTGGAAAATTCCCGTCTAAGAGACTGGAAGAGTCGCTGCAATCTTTTTTGACGTGTATCACCGCAATTCACTTTGTGGATGAGACAGTAACTCTTTATCGATTAAATGGAAATTCCAAAAATGAAGTTACAGCTTTGTGGAGGTCGACTTTCAACGAAAGTGACACGGGAAAACAGAGCAGTTTGTTATAATATAATTAGAGCATATCACCGGCGCGCGCTCGGTGAAAATCGATCGTCACGGCAAGAGTATAATATACGCACGTACACTCGCGTACACTCATATACAAGCAATCCATGCGCCTTGAATGCCCCGAATTCGTTGCATCTGGATCGGAAGATTGATATGGCAATACTTCACAAGCGCATCCACGTAATCGTACGGTCGCGTTTGCCTTGGCATAAATTCTCGACGCTCAAGATATATGTATACCTATACGCGTTCATTCATGGATAAACGTCACGTTTGTATACGTGGAACTTTCAGAAGCGAACGCCTCTGTATATCCCCTGAATCCCCTTTTCCCCTTCGGGGACGGTGACGTTGAAGAAATTTCGATATTGCATACCTTCTATTAAAGCTTCTATTAAACGCTCTCGTATGAAGATTTCATCGCGAACGATCGCGAGGAAAGAAAACATCGCGTGCTCTGTGGAATATTAATTGCCGACCTACTGTCTTGAATTACCGCGTTTATTAATCCAATGGAAGATTTTTCCAATACGATATCTAATAATAAACGAGAATTCTCGTCCAAGGACGAATCGGAATGTATTTCAACGAATGCTTCACGAATTTTATATATTTCTCATCATAATCACATTTTTATCTTATCTGCATGTTCGTTTTAGACAAGTTTTTTTATTTATATATTTCGGAACATATCTACTAGGATTTTGTATAAATACATTTTATACAAAATAAAAAACGACAAGAAGAATTAATATTTTTTTTTTTACAAGTTCGCATACATCTTCACACCAGATAGGTGTGTATTCGGCACACATTGGGACACATTTCGTCCTCGAAGCACGTTCGCCACGGTACCGCAGAGGTGCAAATATGGTACAACAGTTTCATTGTTATCGCGTTACGTATACCACGTGGCGTCGATATATCACATCCGTGCCTTTGATGTCCCGCACGCGCGTGCAGGTGCAATGGTCTTCCTGCCCGATTACACGTGGCCGATTCGCATGACGACCTCCCTCGGTCGGCCGAGGTGCCATCGCAAACGTGCCTCTCGCTAACGTGTCGGACGTGATGAGCAATTGATTTGCGACGACTAACTGTACATTAAGTCCCAATTATTATAGCAATGGGATAAATTCAATTTTATATCAGGCATTTTTATTTCACGTCTAAATTTTTCTTTTGTAATTTGCAACGTTAGAAACGGGATTTTCTTTCAAACATATATAATTAATTGTCGAAATGTGCCGCTTTGCGTTAGCACGTGCATGCGGAGTCGCTCGATCTCTCCACCCCATCGTGTTTGTTCATAAACATTTATAAATAGCTCTATTATCCGTAATTGTTTCTTTGACGTAATCTTAAGCGCATCCGCAGGATGGACGCACCGCGATGGAGATAGGCGATCAGCCAGCGTAGTAGACGGCTCCAGGTCGTCCCGATCGACCGGCACCCTCGCGATCGTCTCCGAGTAAGAGGAACGCGACTGCTCGTCCGCGATGGCCACGACGGCGTCGACGGAGAAGATGGACATGGAGAAGGACTTGCCGAAGAAGAAGCTCATCAACACGAATCTGATATCGCTCAAGTGTCTTCTGTTCATCTTTTTTGGAGGTATATAACATCGATATCGATGTAAATTTGGACAGTCGTTTGAGCTCGGACACTCTCTAATGTCGCAACCCGCGATTATATATTCCCCCTTCAGGTATCGGCTGCCTCTTCCCGTTTCTTCCGCTGCACATGACGAAGGTGGGACTGAGCATCGAGAACGTCAGGTTCGTGTCGATGGTCTCGCCGGCGGTAGCGATACTGGGACCGCTAATAGCGGGACCGATCGCCGACAAGCTCGCCGGCCGTCAGATCAACAACGATAAATCGTCGACCGGTCGTTACCTGCGCGTGATGATCGCCGTCGCCTGCATCTTCTCGGCGCTCTTCTACTCGCTGCTGATGCTGGTGCCCACGGTGGACCGCGCGTTACCGTCCGGGAAGGGCCCGGGCCTCAAGTTCAACTGCGATCGGCGCGGTGCGATGGTGCGTTTGCCGTGAGATGAAGAGATAAAAGAAAGATTGAGAGATAAAAGATATCTGGAGAATATTTCAATGATACGTATAGACACAGAATCGCTAGAACATTTGAATTGAACATCAATTTGTAGGTGCGGCAAGAGAGATGCGAGGACCGCTTTGGTTGCCATCGGTGGGCCGATTATGACAGCGGCGTGGGTGCCATGCTGCTGGAAAACTGCAACTACGCCTGCTACCCGATCGGCTGGCGACGGCATTTGGAATTGACCGCACGCTCGACGACGTTCCGAAGCAACGTCAACGTCGAGGCCGACTTCTTCGAAGGCAGTGGCGAGACCACCGTCGCGCCGTTGAATAGCGAATTCTCTGCGCAGGTATAAAACTGCGATATACTATAGACACGACGTTTTAATAATTAATTTATATAATAAATTTAACATTATCATACAAATTAATGAAATAAATTATAAATTAATTTCAGTTAGAAATAATAATTTAACTGCAAATATTATATATGCTTTCAATGAGATAAAGTCGCGGTAAAAGTAAATGTAGCGAATAATTAATTGAGAATTCTTGCTATTAATTTGTAATTTTTTTAAATTTTATGCCGATTGATATTAAAATCAAGATAATACGTAGTTATAATTTAATTTTGTTTATTAATCATTTCAAGCAAATATTTTTATAATAATTTTAAGAATTTTAATATCAGTGACAGATGATCAGTTTGTAAAGTACATAGGTATATAATTACATAAGTTATTATCCTTGCAGATGAATCGTGACGAGATGAAAAAAGTTCGTCGTTACGTGATGAATGAGCAAGAGCCGCCACATCTGTGTTACAAGGACGAGAATGATAATGTCGTCTGTCACGTTTACACGGAGTATTCCGGCCCGCTACCGGTGAACGGTAGCCTCGGGCAGGCATTGAATCCCGAAAACGAGGATGAATTGTGCATGTATCCCGTGGCCGAGTACTTCACCTGTCGCATACCACCCAAGCTGGAAGCAGAAATGGCTACGTTTAATCAGAGTTGCTCCATAGAATGCGACCTGGTCGATCCATATACTCTCCCGGGTAACGACTTACGTAGAATTAAATATTAAATTTTATGCGGAATCTTGTAACTAAAATCAAGGATTAAATGATTAAGGAATGTAGTATGCAAAAATATTTTTTGAAATCGAATCTCTGCAATAATTCCAACACTTACACGACTGCAGTAGGCAGCTTTTGCTGCAATAGCTACCGAGATAAAAAAAATTTACAATGGACTCTCAAAGACGTCATATACTCGATTTTATCTACGCTGACAGCGGAGAAACGGAATATCTTCTTTTATGCCGGTGATATATGTGATAATATATGTCGACGTTTCAGGCGGCGTACTGGTGGAAAGCCAATGCCAGCATACCGGGGTTTGGACGGAAGCGGCGTTCTGGATGTATCTGTTCGTGCGCTCGGTCGCGGATATCTTCCCGACGACCGCCGTCGCCCTGATCGACGCGGCGGTAGTGATCGCGACCAGGGAGACGTCGTGCGGTCGCGGCGACGTGGGACGCCAACTGGCTTTCGGCTCCCTTGGTTTCGCCCTGCTAGGGCCACTGACCGGCTATCTGAGCACCCTGACGAGCAACATCGGCCCGGCTTATTGGCTGCCGCTCGTCCTACACGCCGCACTGATGATCCTCGCGGCTGTCGTTGCCCTGTCGGCGAACGGCATGCCGCTCAGTCCGCCGGAATGGTGGTGGCACACGAGAAGCGGCATGCTGGCGCTACCGATGAGCGCTGTCAAGAGGTACGGCAGCGAGACCGCCGCCCTGATCTTCGTTCTGCTAGTCATGGGAACCTTTTGGAGCGCGATGGACAGCTACCTACCTTTGTAAGAGTTCATTAAGATAGCCTCGGGTCGTTATAGAAATAATTTAATGGTGATTAATGCATTCGTTCGAGATTTAATATATTTTCTTTGACGTAGGCATCTGCAAAGATTAGGAGGCGATGATCTTTCCATCGGTGTCGCTATGACCGTAGGAGCGGTACCTGCGTTCCTGTTCCTCTGGAAGTCCGAACATCTTGTAGATTACTGTGGGCACAGTAATCTTCTCATCACTGCCTTTACGGTGTACATAATCAGGTAGGTAAGTTTTTCTAGTCTGATAATTGCGCGATAGCTGTCAGTCTAACTGAAAAATTATCTTTATCGCTAGATTTTTCCATCTTTATTCATTTAAAGTCTGATAATCGCGCAATAGCTGTCAGTCTAAAAAATCAGTCAGTCTGAAAAATGATCTTTTTCGCTAAGTTTTTTTCCATCCTCGTTCGTTTAAAAAAAATATTAAAAATTGATTCGATTGGTAAATTTGGCCAGGTTCACCGGACTGAGTCTCGTATCTGATCCCTGGTGGTCTCTCATCTCGGAAGCTTTAGAAGTATTCACCCTAGGAATAATGTGGGTTACTGCCATTCTCTACCTAAGACACTTGGTACCGCGTCATTTGACCGTGACTGCCCAAGCGCTGCCTGTGATAGCTCACTTTTGCGTCGGTACGTTTCTCAGTTGTAACTGAACGGACAAGTAGGACTGAATTATTGATTTTTTTTTCCGACGCGCACACAGGTCGGTGTCTCGGAGCCGTCATCGGTGCTTATATCAATCTCGGCGACGAGGACCTCGTACAATCGCTGAGATTCGTGTATCGTTGTATGGCGATAGCGGCGGCCATCGTTGCCGGCCTGTATTTCGTATTGTATCACGGTCTACTGAAGCCGAGATGTCATGCACATACCATCCAAGGTCCCCGTCAACCGCCCACAATCGTGCAAGGTAAGCAAGGTGCTTGAATACGCGCGTAAGCTAATCGAGTCCTCGCTCTCCCTCTAACTTTGACTTTGGACTTTTTGCAAGCTGCCATAAGAGATTACGAACTGAGTAAGTGATTGAACACGCTCAAGATTTTCTATTTCAGATTCTTCGAAACATATGTAATTTACGTGTTACCTAACAATGTTTTATCTACGCGGAAATCTTCAGAACTGGCTTTTCTGGTTTTGACGATAAACCGAAATGCATCACGATCTGAAAAGATCAGTTCTGCGTATTTCCTCCAAGAAATTCCCCCCCTTTTCTGCATGCATCATGGAGAATTGTGCTGTTTCCGAACGCGCGCTATGTTCATAATTTTCATCGTTTTCATAATTTTTTTTACAATGTTGCAAATGTAGCAATGAACGGAAATGGAAATTACACGCCGCTGAGGGTGTACCATAATGGAATGGGCAGAAAGGGTCAATTTCGATACTGAGAAGTTATCTGTACGAACGAATGAGGAGTTCTAGGAAACAACACATTGCAACACTGATTCCACAATGCAACGTATAAATGTCATCAGTGACGAAGTGCCGACGGAGTGTGTGCTGTCATTTATTTTGCGTTTGCATCGCATTTATCGTTAATTTGTTAATTTAGCACCGACGCGACATTACCGTTTCTGTTTCTTAACGTTATTATTTAAATGAATCATTATCATACAGGACCACTATATGCTCAAGTACGTTCTACGAGCTATATCATCAGTTTCTATATTTGTAACCATAAGAGCATAAGTAGTGACAGCGAGCAACATAACGCCTATCGCAGTAATAAAAAGAGAGATAGGAAAACCTTTTTTATGTACAAAACGTCCACGAAAAGCTACAAGTGTCTAATATTTCTTTAGTTTTCTAATTCATTTTTTTTTTAAATAATCCCTATGTATATAATTATCATAAAATTCTTGATATACCTAAGGTGTATACAACTAAAAAATATAATTTTTTTTGATGAAATCATTACAGCGAGACTTACATGCGTCTTTACATGTAATATAAAGCGGATAAGTATCAATAAAAATAAGACGTCTATTTGTTTAGACAAATGTTACGTTACTGTGAATTGATATATATGTATACAAGAAAAATGAAATAAAAACACGTTGGAGAGAAATGATCGCTGTAATTGTCGTTATTTTACAGTAAAAAGTACGTCATTTACAAACTATTTATATTAAGTTTATTTAGGCAGTGCTGAGCAGAATTTCAACAAAAAGTATATGTTTATAGCCGCTGAAAGGAAGTATATCCAATGACCTATGATCGAGACTTACGTTATATAAATTACATTAAATCTAAATTAATCTAGCATGTGTGTTATATAAAACAATTTATTCGTTTCGTACACTTTCCTTTCTTTCTCTCAGAAAATTTTAATGTATACATTTTAATGTACGCGCGCAACTTGCAATTACAAATATTTAGGAATAAGTATGAGAGATACGTGTTCGTATTTATTGTATAACACACACATACACGCATATATATATATATATATATATATATATATATATATATATATGCCTATAATGACAATAATAAAGAAGTATCATTCAACGATCAATTACATAACGTAACTCATCAGGATAATGTACTTACTAAGAGAAAGCGTAACATCTTATATATATATATTTTTTTTTACATACAGCTCAATGCACTTATATACAAGTTTATGCAAATCGCATAAACTACATATATGGATAATGTCAAAATTAAAAGCTTCGATTTTTGTTGTTGAATGGAAAATAAAAGTATTTTTTTCCAAACAAAATATTTCACGATTCGTTTTACTTCATTTTTTGGTATTTGCGCTATTGTGGGTTAAAATAAAATAATAATTAATTATCTTCTGTACATACAGTTTTTGCAATGTAAGAAGAAATAAAGTCGATATGTTTAACTTGTATGAAAATATTGATGTATCTGTTATAATCAATTATTTTTATAATCGAAATAAATCATTTCTACCTATACAAAATATTTCTGTATATTAACTTTTTCATTAAGTCAATAATCATTAGGTCAATAATCATGGGAATAATAGTTAATATACGAAACATTTTTGAAACAAAAACTTTTTAAACTGTTGATATAAAAAACTATTTGATATAAGAAACTGTTTGATATAAAAAAATATAAGACTGATAAAATTGCCTTTTTAAAATAAAAATTAGAGAATGTACAAATATCAAATAATATAGCAAACATAACATTTAGTTTTTATCTTTTTAATTTTACAATTTCTTCGAATCTTCCACTATAATTTTCAATTCTTAATTTTAAAAAATTTTTAAAATAAATTTATGTTACTGAGACATCTGTAATAAAACTAGACTCATTAATAAAATAAAAAGTTGAGAGGACTCATCAAAATTATTTTTGTTATTAAATAGGGAAAATTTGTAGAAAATTAGTAAAATATGAATTTTATTAAATTTAATCATTAGGTTTCAAAGAATTATTTATTATTAACAAATTTAGATATCTCATTTTTTCAAGATATTTGTTGAAAGCAAACTTCTAATAAAGTTATCTATTAATAATGTGACGTATATCTAATGTGATGTATACATTAGATATATATTTATTTTGAATAAATGCCAAAAGAATAGACTTAGTTTCTTTCGAAAACAAGTTTCTTTTTCACAGAACAAGTTTGTAAGTTTGTATTGAATGATTTTGTATCGGATTTCTTCTTAAGCTCTGAAAAGAAATGAAATGTACAACTTTTTTATACAAATACAAACTTTTTCGACATTTTGATTTTCAAAAAAAAAAAAAAAAAAAATGAAATTTCAAATCAAAATGCATTTCTATTAATAATTTCAATTGAATGATAAGAGTATTGAATCTAACGCAATACGTTAATAAATAATCCGTCTCATTAATCATCAATAATAGTACAATCCTCCTCACTTCCTGCCGAAACAGTTACTTCTAAATTTACTATGCTATCATTTTCATTTGAATTTATTTCGTTATCTGACGTTATCGCTTCCATTGTATCATCCATTGTATCTGCATGAGTTTCTCGCGATTCCGTTTGTTGCAACTTGTCGTCTAGTTGCACAATTGTTTCTTGTATCTCAGTGTCAGAATTACTAACAATTTCTTCATTGTTATCCAATGTTTTTCCACTTTTGCCATCTTTGGCCACTGAATCAATATTATCACCCAAATTGTTTTCTTGTTGGCAACTTTTCGACTGATCAGATAAATCGATACTTTGAGACGAATGTGAAGTGAATGGTGGATCCGTTTGCACTTTTTGAAGTGACGTTTCATCCGAGTCTGCCAAACTCTTCGTATCCTCTGTCTCAATCCCGTTATCCTCAATATGTTGTAGATAGTAGATAAACTGTTCCTCATACCTGCCAAAATTCTCGTCAGGCGCGGCCGGTGAATCCAAAACACTATCGTCCGCCTTCGAATCGTCGTGGGCGGTTCTCGTTAATAACGAATAACCGATACATTTCTCGTAATCCCTTGAGACAACGTCGTATACCTGAACTGCCTTGTTCACATACAAGTGTTCACTATCTTCACCAACACTACGATGCACAACGTTCTTTTTACACGATAACAAGTGCTTAATAATGTTACTCTCGCAAACTAAATCGGATGGCTCCGCGATCTGACTGTTATCATCGGATTCGGTGTCGGAATCGTTTACGCAAGTCATATCTAAAGGAATATCTACATTGTCCTGGGACGGGTCTAATGCATCTCTATTCTTGGCCGTAGGCGACGCTACCGTATCCGTCTTCCGAGATCTTCTCCACTCGTGGTATTGGCGTACTATCCTATCGTTGATGTGCACCATCTGAACGACCGTGTCGCGCATGCTGCTATAGAAATGCTTGACTTTTTGCTGCGCCTCCGCTTCGATGTTTTCGATCGCATTGTTCAGCTCGAAGAAATTGTACACCTTTTCCTTCGTATCACCCAAGAGTTTCTCGAGTTCCCGGCTATGCGGCAACATCATTCCACTGAACGAGACATTTTTTTCCACGGTCGGGGTCGTCACTCGCAGGGGCTGGTCCTCTCTGACGGCGTCGTCGTCACTGTTCTCCCAGGTGAGAGCGACAGGTACAACCTTGTCGGGAACGTTAACGTCCATATTATTGCCTCTCTCGATCGACAAATTATTATTCTGCTGCGCGACTACGCTCGGCTCGTCGTCGGAGTCGCTGTCGAGCTCGATTATGTTAGGCGTCAACGTCATATTCATTTCCTTCGGCTTCGGAAGAATGAACAGGGGTCTGCCGTGCTTATCCACCGGATTAGGTATAGACACCATTGTGTTCGGCACAGATTGACGCTGCTGCGACGACTGCTGATACGAGCTCGTCTGCTGCGGCTGGTACGCCAACTGCGGTTGCGGCTGCGGCGGAAGAATGATTCGATTCATGACGGGTGTTTGAATGAAAGTGGTGGAACCTGAGTTCATAAAAGACGTGTGATACACGGAGGATTGCTGTTGCAACGTATTGGGATCGAATCTCGATGGCAACGAGGTGTTCGCGTTTATCACACTGGGCGACGAAAAGACGATACTCTCCGATGGGGTAATGACTGAATTTTTGTGGCTGACCACCGTAGATTTCATCGGTTCGGCGTTGAAAGATTGGCCGCTCAAGAACGCCGTTGGACGCGGTCTGATGGGAATCGGCATACGATTCATAAATACCTCTTTCGAAATTCTCTCGTAGCCGTTCGACAGGCTGTGCGATTTGGCCTTTTTCACCGGTTTGCGTGGTTTTATGTAACACTGCATCCCATTGGCGACCTTAGGCGTGTACGTTTCGTCCTCCTCCTCGGAATTGGATTCGGGTCTTCGCCGCTTACGCTTGCTTCTGCGTGGACAGCATTGCGTTTCGTCCAAATTCATCTTGTCCTCGATCTCCTCCGCGGTCATCTTCTTGTCGTGCTGAAGTATTCTGAAAAAATACACCCAATTAAATGTGAGTGACAATAAAAGTTTACAATTTCAAAATAGACAATTAATTCACAGAATTCCCAAACTAAATCACCATTTGAAATATTTTAAGCTAGTGAGAATCGGCGCGATAATTATTGCGCAGTATTTTTTTTTTAAGTGACAAGGTATGGCGTATTGCAAAGATGCAATATTACAAGATCGTATTAAAAAAAAAAAAAGAAATGTTAATACTAGCAAACTGTATATATTTTCTAGATTTCGTTTCGGCCCTGGGATCATCTTCAATATTAGAAATCTCATTCCGGTTCGATAGTACAGATTAACCATCTTTTATTTTCAACAAATGTTCCGCAGAGAACAGACAAGTACAAAGTCAAGGTGGCTAAGTCTTTTCATGGTGGAGGATAATAGCCCTCCCTGCTGTGAACGGTGTGGACACTTAATACAACTAAAGGACGCTTCCCCTCCACCTTGCATACTTAATACTAAATACTATGGTGGGGGACAATAGCCTCCCCCCCTTGCCACTGTGAACTAATCTAGGTAGGGGTAGTCAGTCAGTTCTTCATTTGAATATACAATCGAACCGGAATGAGATTTATAATACTGAAGATAGCCTCAAGCCAAAACGTCCAAAAATGTATATGGTCTACTAGTATTAATATTCTTAAAAAAAAAAATACTGCTCCGATTCTCAGTAGCCTAAAGTATTTCAAATGTCGGTTTACAATTTCCACAATGGAGTGGTGTAATTCAACAAAAATTGATACATTCTTGTGATATTGTGTCTTTGCAATATGCCATACCTCGTCACTGTTTGTACATGTTGAAGTAGAGCCCAGCATATAGCTCTTGCATTATACAAATCACTGGGGTTGCATACAAAACATTTCCACTTTTCGTCCGCTTCGATTTTCTTTCGGATCAGAGATGTAAAGTTTCTTTTTATACACTTGTAGCAGAATGTGTTGCTACAGTAGGAGCAACAGTATAAATTGCCACCATTGGCGCACCATCTGCAGAACATGTCTGTAGCGTCGTCGCCTGAAAATTTAAGTAAAGATACGAATGTTATAGAAGCAATTGCATATCCAAATATACAAATAACATACAATATAATATACAATTGCATTACCCTGCTCAAAAGTGCCATCTCCATAAAAGTCATGACAATTTGCGCACAGCAATGTACGTAGTACAGGATGCTCAAACATATTGTGAGCCTGAGACGGAGCCGAGCCGATGTGCTGGTCGCAGGCTGTACAGTGAATTCTACGGAATCGTACGGACGCGATATCTAAAAACAAAATTGGAATATTTACGCTACGGCGTACAATTCTCGTGGCTCTGAGAAAAGAAAAGGCGCCTCGTATCCTTCGTGGACAAACCTCAGGCTCTCAGAATTAGGAATGCAATTAAAGGGAAGGGAGAACTAAACTACAAGTTAATCTAGGAACTCTATTTGTTACGAGCCAAAGTAATGTGGATTCTTGTTCATAGGTAGCTGACCGTTGCCGAACGTGAGCTTGTAGTAATTGCTCTCCTCCTGTGAGATCCCGGGGGTGACCGCGGTGGTGGTGGCGCTGGACGCCTGATCCTGTCCTGGTGTCACTGGAAAAGACCACGAGTGGCACGCTAAGCAGGTAAGGTTGATAGGTTAGAGTAAGCCGCACGTTAAACGTCCCCCGTACGGGAGGCCGCGCGTCACCGTCCGCTCGACGTCCGTGCTCCTTACCGTTCTCCTTGACGTCCGTCTCCTCCTTCACCTGCACCTCGAGCATACTCGAGATATCCATGGTGCTCGTTCGCGGCCTCGTTCGCTCGTTAGCAACAACCGCAACAACGCACACCGCTCAAAACAACACACCGGGTCTTAATGCGTCGCCATTTTCCTACGGAAGAGCTGGACCGTGGCCGGCCACGGCCGTCCCAACTCCCGCGAATCGACTGACGTAGCAAAATACGCGAAAATCGAAATGAGTTTCTCTCGACGCTATTAAACAGTCGGAAGAGAGAAATTTGATTCAGCTTTCAAAGTGGCATAGCGAAAGAAAAAGAAAAAAAAGAGAGAGACAAAGAAAAAAAGCGATAGCAGAGATTTCTCGCAAACACAGAAACAGCATTAATTGTTTCGTTTGGAAATACGATTTTCTTGCAATTTCGATTAACTTTAATCGACGATTCAATTAACTGATAAAATAGCTCACAGCAAAATTTCTAACTGTATAGCCTGATAAAAAAAAGTTCTTATATTTCTCTATAAATATCTCTAAATTCTTAATAACATATTTTAAAAAATTTTTCATATTTTGAATTTCTGAACTGAAAAATATACCTAACTTCGTCAAATCTTCTAAATTTTTTGGGGAAATTACAAAATGAGAAATCTTGAAATATTTTAGAATATATACGTATTTGAAAAATTAGGAAAAAATGTAGATTTTTTCAACATTTTGGAAAAATGTTTTAAATTATATAAAAAATCTGAGAAATTTTTTGAGGTTATAGAATTAGATAAAAATTCTGAAAAATTATATGAAGAAATCATATTCTTAAAGCGATTATTGGTAAATATGAGAATTATGAATTGCACCAATTACGTATGTACGTTATTTTAACTTTAAGGAAGGCTTAAAGCTCTCTTTTTAATCGAAGACGATTGTCCCGACGATAGTGCCCTTAAGCTCTTAATTCTGACTGCCGACTCACAATAGACCAATGACAATGAAGCTAATTCATTGTGATTGGTCCACTATGAATTGACACTTGACCGTCAGAATTGGCAGTCGGATCAGCTTGCAAAGATTGCGTTCCGATATTCATTGCCAGTGCTAAAAATCTATAGTGCACGTAACGTATATTATAGATTTTCAGTAGTTGCAGTGAATATCGGAACGCAGCCAAAGTCGGTAATCTGATACGAGTGATACAGGCTTTAATAGGTCCCCGGGCCAGGGGCCAGGGTTCGCCGTAGACCGCGTCCGGCACTGCGCACGCGCGTTGCCGTGGAAATTGGAAACCCGTGTCTGTTTAAAAATGGCGCTCATTTTCGATTTTGTTTCGGAGCGCGCTCCGAGGAACGGCTCCGCGTAAAAGAATGGACGAGGGGGCTCGGGGGACCGCGGAGAGCGCGAGTTCGCTCGACAAGACGGCGCGGAGGCTCACCGACGACATACAGAGTATGTCGAATTACAGGGCGCTCTACAGCGAGATACAAGTGCGTGTCTGGTGCTCGTCGTCGAACGCCGGTCGCGAACGGTGGCAGTGTATTCCCCCCGTCTGTCTTTTCGCAGAGACTCGTCGCGTCGTCCGCCGTGGACAAGGACGATTTCAAGAACTCGCTGGTCACGGCACTCAAGGACAATGGCCTGGAGACCGAGATCAGGAACACGGTGTTTCACTGGGCGCGATCGCGGGTAGGTTATACTCCCGAATGAAACTCCTTCACGATTTGACGAAGACGTCATCCACCTAATTCACCGGATCTCTCCTTTTCTCTTGACAGGGCTCGCTGCATTCTCGGTCAGTTTCGCACATACAAGCAGCCGACCTGAGCTACCTGAAGAAGACTCAGATTCAGTGGGAACGACGAATACAGAAGTCATTGAACTCGACATGCGGCGAATTGAACATTCCACTGGCTCGTATTAGACCCACCGCCGACAGGGACGAGCTGGCTGAAAAGTGGAACGAGTTGAGCACTTACGACATTGGTAAATGTTGTGGCGAATTTAAAGGTACAATTTAAGTTTCGCTGGAAATTATTTGCGGAATGTGATTTTCAGATTTATCACAATACCGGCCGCTTTACGCGCCGAAGGACTTCCTGGATGTATTGTTCTCCATACGCGATCCTTCATTCAAAAAGCAGCCGTGTGTAATTATATAGATTTGCATAGAGATCAACCCAGCTTTAGTTCAATAAAAATGCGTCTACATTTCAAGCTCTTTTTCGAAACGTTTCAGAGATGAATTAAACTGGGATTTCAGTCACATACAAATTAGTGTAAAAACGCTCGCGCAATTGGTATGAATTTTATCCAATATAGCTTCTGTAATTTATAATTTATACACTTGTACGTATATCCTGGATTTCTTGGTGTAGAGGCGTATGTATTCGGAATTAGCACAGGGAGTGCCCTTGCTGGGGATCAATTCCGATATGCCGGCCACGGAAAATTTCCCAAATTTGGAAGCCGAGCGAACGCACATCGGCGAAAAGGTGTTGAACTCGAATCATGCCCCGATTGCTCAGGAATTTCTTAAGAGAGGATCCCCTCGAGCGTTGCGCGGTCGTATTTGGTCACTCGTTCTCGGATCTGTTATCAAAGATAATGTATGACTAATATCTTGCAATCTAACATTTGTTGCACATCGTGCTAAAAATTGTCGTTTCCGATTATCAGTGTAGATAAAATTTCTCTCTTTCAGGATATAGAATATTATGAGGAATTGAAAAATATGGTTTTGCAATACGATATTGTGGTAGACAAGCTGATAATAATGGTAATTTGTATATTATTTTAAATTATCTGCTCTTAAAGTAAAGGAAGCAAAATTTAACATCTGGCGTGTTCATGCAATCGTAGGATGTACAATTAACGGCGAGAAACGACGATCAGTACTTTGTATTCGAAGACGTTTTGTACAAGACAATGTTGTGCTTCTCGAGAGATTCCGAGATACTCGCGCCGGTCACAACTGACCGCAGTGCCGGGGGTCAAGTGATCCACGCGGTTCTGCAGGGCAAACCAGCGACGCTGGAAAACACCCTGGTCTTTCCACCAAGTGGTGTCATTCCGTTCCACGGATTTACAATGTACGGTAAGGGGAGTTTTGAAAAAGTATGACCTGGTTTTTTATTTAGTCTAATTAACTAATTATCAATGTTTTCGCACCAGCTACGCCATTCTGTTATTTATATGACGATCCCTGCGCTATGTATTATACTTTCCGTGCGTTCTACTTGAGGTACTGGTTTCGTTTGCACACTGTATCGAGCCACGAGCAAGGTGTAGTTGCCCTCTGCTTACTCTTCGAACGATTGCTGCAATGCCACGAACCGCAGTTGTGGACCCATTTCAAAAATATACACATTCAGCCGTGAGTTTACTTCTCTTTATCTTCCTGTAGCGAACTGATTTTTATTCGCGCGACCCATTAATTTAAAACACGTGTACATTTTCAGCATAAAAATAGTTTTCAAATGGCTTATGAGAGGCTTCAGTGGTCATTTACCGCCCGAACAACTATTGTACCTTTGGGACTTAATTCTCGGCTACGACTCGTTAGAAATTATTCCACTACTGGCGGTGACGATATTGAGTTTTCGAAAAGAAAACTTACTGCAAGTTAATACCCAACAGAATGTAGAGGTACAGAATTGATATTACCACATCAATTAATTGTATGTTGTATATATTTTTATATATATTCTCTTATTTTCAGGCTGTATTAGCAGACTTATCCTCGCTAAAAGTAATGCCCTTACTGCAGCTGGCTCTCCTAAAAGAATAATATTACTTATACATGAAATTATATAATTACGAGATTTGTAAACTTTTCTTTAGGTTTGTATCACTCCTCTCTCTGATCCTACTTATATATACATTATACTCCGTAATTTTATTCGTGAAAATACATCGATGTCGAAGAATATATATATATATATATACGCGCCACATGTTGAATAAATGATTATAAATAAAGATTAAAACGTAGATAAAGATAAACACAGACAATGTTGAAACGTGTATTGAGCAACTCTGCAAATGCGAATGCGAGGAAAAGTAATTATCGCCGATATATCTGCGCGAGGTTTCAAACAATGTTGTCGCGGGGGAGGGATAAAGTGCGCGGCGCTCCGAAGGAGGGTGGAGGGGAGAAGAGGGGGGGAGGGGGAATTTTCCTGCTTCCGGCTGTCAACCGTAGAGACTGCCGTAGAGCTTGGTCGGAGACTCGGTAGAGCAACGGTGGAGCGGTGACGCCCGCGGCTCTCGTCCCCCTCGTGTTCGTCGCCGGCTGCCATTCCCGGATACTCGCCGCGGAAGCGCGTCGGAGGATCGGCGCGTGTGGACACGCGCCTCGATTTTTCGCGAATCCGTGAGTATCGCCCTCCGTCAGCCGATTTGCGTACGCGTCGCTGCTGACAACAGCGTCATTGCGGCAACGCCAAGCGGCGATCTACGGCACGGCCAACCCACACACACGCCGTTGTAATACACCGAAGGGTAGGGTGGTGGTTCTCCACCCCCAAATTATTAGTCACGCACAGCCCTTACTCGCGGGCGAGTTGATCGCGTCGGCGTCGTTCGCGCCTGTTGTCACCGACGCGCCGTTGAATGCCCGGCCGCGACTCGACAGAGAGAGAGACTCCGGCGTCGTTTTCTCCCTACCATTATCCGCGCCGGGAGCAACGCCCAGCGGAGTTATTCGCATGTGTTTCGAGTGTCCCTGCGCGAAAACTCGGCTGACAGACAGAAAAGACTTCCCGCGAGAGCCGCCCGCGAAAGATTTCCGCGGACGCTCGCCTTTGTCGCTTGTTCCCTTCCCCCCAAGTTGTGCCCGTATGTTTCTCTTACAAAAATTACTCCTGACATATGCTCGGCAGATATCTTGTACTTATCAGTTATTGTTAAGAATTATCAATGATTTTTAAGAGTGTTCAAGATAGAGCAAACGATATCTGATTTACGTCCCCAATGAATGTCTCGAAATTCAAATTAATAAAATTATAATGACTCAATCTGGTGCTTCTTACGTCTTCTAGGTCATATGATTCAAGTGGATTGCCCGGACAATTAAAGTCAGCTGAGTCAGCAGTATCAAAATGGCTTGGCGTTTCAAAGCGTCCAAATACAAAAATGCAGCGCCGATCGTTCCCAAGCCGGAGGCTTGTATTCGGGATATCTCCGTGGGATCGTATCAGACCTACGGGAATAATATAACAGCATCGGCGGCATTCATGGCATTCAATGTCGATCATAACGGTACATATTTATCCCGTTTATCCACACTCGCATTTCATCTACAATAGGTTTTATTTCTTTAAGAGTATTCATAAGTATTTTTACTATTCTTTACTTATATTAGTTAAATAAACTTTTACTATACTTTACTTATATTAGTTAAATAAACAAAACTGTTCTTTTTTTCCAAAGGATCCAGCTTAGCGGTATTGCCGCTGGAGGATTGCGGCAGAAAGAGTAAGACTATGCCGCTGCTTCATGCACACGCAGATACTGTGACGGATATGGATTTTTCTCCATTTCACGACGGCTTGCTGGCAACTGGATCTCAGGACTGTCTGGTAAGCATCTTGGAACTTTATTTTCAGCAAATAAAATATGTAAAGTATCATTTAAATTTTACATTTTTTTCTAGAAGTCATATTAATTATGTTTGTACAAAATTAGGTGAAGTTGTGGCACATCCCAGAAAGTGGCTTGGAAGAATCCTTGTGCAATCCAGAATGCACATTCTCTCATCGTCAACGAAGAGTGGAAACAGTATGCTGGCATCCTTCTGCCGAACATCTTCTGACCACTTCGTCATTCACCAATCTCTCGCTCTGGGACGTTCTCTCACAACAGGAATTGTTTTGTAAATATAACTTTACTGTTACTTTACTCTTGTTGCTTTAATTTTACTTATGAAAAATTTGTGCTATTGCAGCTAATAACGACCACACCGAAGTTATTCAGTCTGTAAGTTGGAAGGAGGACGGTACCGTTCTAGCGACGACCTGCAAGGACAAACAATTGAGGATTATAGATCCGCGCATGTCGACGTGTATCGTCAATTCATGCTCGAGCCACCAGAGTATCAAAGATTCCAGAGTAGTCTGGCTAAACAGCGATAGAATACTCACCACAGGATTTGATGCGGCGAGACTTCGTCAGGTTTACATTAGGGACTTGAGGCATTTAAATGAGCCAATGAAAACATTGGAATTAGATTGTAGTACTGGGTAAATATGAGTTGAATTCAATCTTTTCACTTGGCAAGACTTTAGATTTATTTAGATCAGTATCGCTAAGTAATATCGCCAAGGTAATTATTTATGTTTATGATATATATATATTTTTTACAGTATTTTGATGCCGCTTTTCGATTCCGACACAAATATGCTCTTCCTCGCTGGCAAAGGAGACACCACTATCATGTACATGGAAGTCACAGATAGAGATCCTTATCTGGTAGAAGGGATCCGTCACAGCGGTGAGCAAACTAAAGGAGTATGCCTGGTTCCTAAACGAGCATTAAATGTAATGCAGGCTGAAGTTAACAGGCTGTTACAACTCACCTCCAACATGGTGATTCCTATCATGTATCAAGTTCCACGAAAAGTAAGTTGTATATATTGTCTATGCATAAATTGTCATATACATCTTATATCTAAACTTATTAATAACGTTAAATTTTAGACATACAGAGACTTTCATGCAGACATTTATCCGGACACAACTGGTCCCGTTGCTCACAATAATGCATTGGCATGGATGAAAGGTCTTAATGCACCTGTACCAAAGATATCGCTAGATCCTGCTAAGAGAAACAAAGGCGAAGAACCGATTACTGTGAGTAAACATTTTAATAAATGCTGTGGAAGTTTTCATATCGCTCTTACATGTGGCATACATTTGAGGTAGCTTTGATCGTTAAAGAAAATATTTGCTTATTTGTAAATACCAGTTATATGATCGCTTCAAATTCGAATCATCAGTCACTGCATGCTTTTCATCATCATAATGTTTTTTCGCATTATCATCCCATTTGCTCCAAAATAACTGGATTTTAGAATTAATATTGAATTGTTGTATCAATTTATTCACATATTTGTTTTGAGCAATACTTATTTTAATATATATTTTTAAGTAGGCTTTATGTTATATTCTAAAATTAAAATATAAAATTGAGTAGTAAATTTAATGATGTCATTTATTTTATATGAAACAGTTATTTTGTTTGTAGCAGTATTACAATGTAACTTTATATAAAAATTGCTTAAATACTCTGCAATGTACTTTTTATGATTACGTAAAGTGCTAAATTTTTCTATGGTTACTGGTAATATTATGTATTATGTATTATAAATGTAAGATATTAACAAAATATAATTTAAGAAATATTTTTATTATATTAATATTTTATGTCTCTACATATTCTTTGCAGGAGTTCATATTTATTAAATTATTTGATTATTACTAATTATGTGTACATTTATTTTGCGCTATTGAGTTTCTTTCTCTATATTCTTTGTATATTTTTTTTCACGTTTCAGATATCCAATATATGTTTTATAATTTATACATTAGCACCATTCAAACTATTATTCCTGGCACGTGTAATATAAGTGGCAATTGATGTTGTAGCTTATTCTACAGTGTAAGTAATAGTATGAAATGTAAAAACATTTGTATTGTTCATATGGCTATCAGATAATTTCTGTACAAATTTGCTTTCAACAAATTTAATCACGAGATACTCTTTAAGCTATAGGAGCTATATTGGAGCTTATTTGTATCACTTTTTTTTTTGGAGGTTATTTATTCTGTACAAAGATGCGAGCCATATATATGTGCGTACATATATGTGTAAAACTAATGTGAATGTAGCTAAATTGTTGCTATCGTTAAATTGTCGCGTAAATTATGCAGAAATGTCAAAAGAAAAGTGCAAAGTATCGGGCAGTGTAGCTTGGTTTGCATGCGGTTTGCGGTGCATTAAGGAATTTACCGTACCTCCAGGTACACAAAGGGAACTTAGCGGTGCTCAAAGACAATCAGCGCGAAATTAAAGTAGAACAAACGAACCGGCCGCCGAAGCCCTTGGTCATTACCGCGCCGAAAGGATTCACGAAAGTGCAGATCAACGCGAACGAAAATGACAACAGTGTTGAGAAGAATGACAATGCAGATACCGAGAAGATTGATGATTTGAAAAAGCCAGCCGAGGCGGAAGAAGAAAAGACCAAGATACAGAACGGGGGACAAGCCGTTCCACCGAAACCTTTGCCGAGAGCGTCAAGAACCAACAGTATCTCCGAGGAGGAGCCAAAACCAGTGGCACGTCCCCGTACATCGCCGAATCCCGGATCAGTAGTCACATCGGTGAATCCTAACGCGATCGGCGGATATAAGGTTAAAATTAACTTAAAAAAGAAATTAAATGTTACGTAAAGGATATCTGATCTCTGTGATAATGCGTGAACACTTTTGCATGCGGCCAGTTTCCTCCTATTTCACTTTCATATTCATCATTATCATATCATTACTAACAATCAATACAACAATTCTTAAAGGATAGAGAGACAAATAAAAAAATTTTTTATTTTTTTATTTTATTTTAGCCCCGACTTGGTCCTAAACCGTTTCAAGCAAAGTCCAGCAGCCAGGAATTTTCATTTGACAAGGTCTTCTCTGTACCAATTGCACCGAACAACGACAGCAACACCAATGGTTATCAGAATGAAATTAACAATACAGTAGAGCACAATGCCGTAGAGCACAATACGGAAGCGGATAAATCCCCGACGTTGACACCGAATGAGCGTGCAAAGGATACGGAAAATGGCAAGAGCGACTCGAGCTCCATTGAGGAAGATGCTAATTCAAGCGACTCCGGTTACAAGCCGAAGACACCGAGCACCGCGGAAAGGCGCAAGGTGTTCGAGACGAAGGTGAAGGACGAGTCGCCCGAGAACGAGGACATTGGGAATTTCGAACGCGGCTCGAACAGGAACTCGATCGCCGAGAGGCGGCGCCTTTACGAGAGCCGATCTGTGTCTGTCACCGACGGGAATTTGGCGGAGAAGGCGATGGGTTCGCCGACCATGCTGCGACGAAGAGATTCCTTCAAGGCGAAGAGCGAGGTGATTAAAGAGGACGAAACGAAGAAGAGCATTCCCATGTTGCGACAGCAGAGCATGGATCCTAAACTGGAAAAGGTGGAGCCCGTTGTAACGCCAGTTTCAAAAAGGACGTCGACAGTTTTCGGTAAGAGTCGCGACACGCTCCGAAAAACGTTTTTCGTGCACGCGTCGTTTAATGCAAATTCTCTGATTGTTATGTAGGAAGAGTGTCCAAGTTTCGGCACTTGAAGGGTACTCCGGGGCACAAATCTACGCATATTGAGAATATACGCAATATCAGTCGCCAAATATCCGGCGAATGCGATGGCTTTCACGGTAAAATTCTTTTCTCAATAAAATTCGATTTCAAGGAGGTATTTAAATGTGACGAACGTGACGGCTCAATTTAATAAATTTACAGCTAATCCCGATCGAGTGGCTGTACCCTTGAGTGGCCCAGGTGGAAAGATAGCAGTATTGGAATTGAAGAAAACTGGAAGACTGCCCGATGGAGTTATGCCGGCGTTAGTCCACGGCGCGACCGTAATGGACTTCCAGTGGGATCCGTTCGACAATCAGCGACTAGCAGTTGGTAAAGTATAGACGTTGAAAATTATAACAAAGAAGAAATATGCTATTCCGCCAGATTTGAGAGGGATTAATAGAATTTTCTTGTGCTAGCTTGTGACGACGGAATAATTCGCTTGTGGGAAATACCCGAGTCTGGTTTAGCGGAACCGACAAACGAATCGAAACACATCATAGAAGCCCACACCGATAAGATTTATCTGATCAAGTTTCACCCGCTGGCGTCGAACGTTCTTGCATCCGCCTCGTACGATATGACCGTCAAAATCTGGGACTTGTCACTCTTGTCATCTACCGACACGGTAATTGCGAGAATCACGTTGATCGGTCACACCGATCAGATATTCAGCTTGGCATGGTCACCGTGCGGCCAGTACCTCGCCAGCGCATGCAAGGACGGTAAATTGCGAATTTACAAGCCTCGATCGAGCGACGTTCCTGTGAAAGAGGGAAAAGGCCCCGTCGGAACGAGAGGTGCGAGAGTTATATGGGCGCTCGAAGGCAGATATCTCGTTGTGATGGGTTTTGACAAGTAAGCACAACAAAGAACCACCACATTTCGTTCACATGTAATAAAAAAAATATATGTAAAGAAAATAATGATCAAAATTTGTATCTTCCAGAGTTTCTGAAAGACAGATTTACGTATTTAAAGTGGACAATTTAAATACTCCTTTGAACACTGTTGGATTAGATGTCTCGCCTGCCATACTAATGCCATATTATGATGAGGACAGCTCTACGCTTTTCTTAACCGGACGTGTAAGATTCTTTTTTTTTTACACTCAATTTTAATTACGTAGGAAGTTTGCCGTAATTTTACTTTTCCTTTTAAAATATAATTTTTTAGGGTGATTCTACAATATATGCATTCGAAGTAACCGAGGAAGCACCACATTGCTGCCCATTGAGTCACCACAGATGCAGTAGCTTGCACCAGGGCTTGTCATTCCTTCCAAAAAATAAGTGTGACGTGGCCAGCGTGGAGTTCGCTTCTGCTTTGAGGCTAACAAATAACACAATAGAGCCTTTAAGCTTCACCGTGCCGCGTATAAAGGTACATATTATTCATGATTAATGACATTAATGTATATATGAAATCATTGACATGAAAGCACTAGACATATTCACTTGTTTCAATTAGAGCGAATTATTCCAAGACGATCTCTTTCCTCCAACTAAAGTTATTTGGAAACCGACTTTATCCGCGTCAGAGTGGTTTAACGGTGGCAATAAACAGCCATCTAGGATGAGTCTTAAGCCACCTGGTATGGATAATTGTAAGTACACGATACACTATATCATTAAATTAAGAGAAAGATTATTTACACGCAAATTTTTATTCACAGTATCTGAGAGTCAACCTCAAAGTGCAGTTACACCTCCCCAAATTGCAAACAAACCATCACCGACCCCTTTTGGTATCACCACACAACCTTTTAGTAGATTAGGATGGAATCCGGACATTAAAGCAAAACAAGAAGAGGTAAGGCAATTGAATTTACGCATTTTGCATGTACTTTATGAGTGGATATTGGTGTAAAAATGATTTCTTACGAAATCGTATATCCGTGATATTTATTAAGAAATAACTTTATTGAGAAATAAAATCACGATTGGACGGCTGCATGTATAAGCTTCAACATTGATATGTAGTTTTCTAATTACTTGCAACATTGTAAAGTGTGACAAGCTTGAGCTACATAAATTATTTCTTTATTCATGCATCACGCTTTGTATTATTCAATAATACAAATTGTGCTGCATCAAATTATTTGAAAAAGAGCTTCGAAATTACCTCTAAAAAAAAAACAATTTTCTATTAAAAGTCCTATTTCAAGGCAGTCTTGCTTCTATGTATTAATGTAATATCATGTTTGAGCATATTGTGTGGTATGTGTGCGTCAGATCCAGAAAACTATGAGCCATTTTGTGGGAGATGTCATCCAATGTTCGCTAGAACAAGATCACATGGAAGGTGTCGAGGAACACGAGTGGGTAGGTGTCTCATTTGCTGTGTCATAACTCTGGTTCTTTAGTAGTTATTTATTTATCGTGTAGTAGTTTAATATAATACTATGCACTCTCAGTAGTTACACATATGTGAGTGTACAGTCGCAATATATTTCTTCGCTTTTAAAATAAAAATGTTAGTAAGAAGGAGTAGGTTTTGAAGTCGAAAGAAAATTTGTGTAAAACTTATTTACTTAAGATTTGGCGACGATTAACATTAAAACGTATTGTTTTAGGACGAGTGAAAATTGAAGACTTGTGGATAGATGCAAACTGGTAAGGTAAAAATCTAAAAAAAACCGTAGTTGATCGAGCCGCGTAAATTATTTATAAGTTAGAATTATATATCGCGCGAATGGCAACAATATCGCAGTGTTACTGTGTATAGAGTGAGAGAGACAAGTTGTATCGGGGAGATATACTTCCAACGATTTTCTTTTGCGGAGGAAGTAAGAGACAAGTACAGTGTTTTATATCAATTTACAACAAGTAATACTCATTTTTTCGTAAATCTAGCTTAGGATTTTGTAATTGCATTTTTCAATGCATAGAAATAAGAATCCAGGCCTTGTTGTGAACTGCATTATAATTTAAAGTTGAAACGATAAACGGAGTAAATGGCACACCAAGAGATTTCGTAATCTGGCTGAATCAATGCAATATTGATGCAATTTGATATAGCGCAGTGTCGATATGACAACACTGTCCTTATATAAAACCAAAATGCGTGATTATAGCTCTAGTCCCAAATCATTTTTCTTTAATCGCTTAATTTGCCTCACCAAGGTATTTCAGATAATTCTATAGTATTTTATAGTATATCACTGTAGAGATTATATTAGATGTAGAATATGCTTAATTATTGTCAAGAGAATTGAGAAGCTTGTAATACGATTTGACAATAGTTTTCATCCATCTATTTAATGAATATCAGTTTTGGAAGTTCAGTGGATGAGTAATTCTTCTTAGAGAGCAAGTATGCTAGTATATTCATTACGCTTTTCAGTACCGAGTGTGAACGATATCGATTGTGTCAGAGACAATTATTGACGAGTATTTATTCGCTATATATATCGAATATTAGAATGATCAATTTTCCTATGAGAAAAAAAATCGCATTAATGTGCCATTTTTGTGAAGCGACAGACGTTAACGTCCAATCTGTCGTTAATAAGAAAGAGAGAAAATAGTATTACAAACGGTTATTAGGTCTTTAAAAGTTATTTATTTCGCGGTGAAGTCGACATTCCTTATTTAACTTAATTTAACTGCCACACATCAGTGCCAGATTTATCCTCGTTTCAGTATTCAGGTGTCAATAATGGTCTCAATGTATATGTCATAATATAATCTATCATCGTATATGTGTGATAAGAGAGCGCAAATGACAGTCTCGTCGTAGGATTGTGGGTCAGATGGTTTTCTACGATATTTCGTATCCTTATACGCACATACAAAAAAAAAGACATTATACAAAATAATTGATAAAATACAACGCGTAAATAAGTAATCGTAAGCCAATAATTTAATAGTATGGCGAAGTATATTTCAATTTATGCCTCGATCGGTGAGCATTGAGTACTCTGCAAGATTCAAATGATATAAATTGAAAAAAAAAATGACTGATCCTTTTTACAATAATCTTTCTTATCAGAATACTGAATCTAAAACAATTGCCGATTTGTTAAGCGATAATCTTTTTATGAGAATATTCAGATCAGAATATTTCATCTCGTTTTTATGTGTTTTTTTTTACACAAGCTAGTCGTTATAAAAAATAATGGTACTATGTCCTCCAAAAACAAATTTTATAATTGGCGGTAGAACGCTAACTTTTCTTTATGAAAAATTGATTAATGATATGTATATAACTTCATTATCTTTCATAAATCATATCTCGGCACGCGAATACATTTGATCAACATAGTGCCAAAAATCTATTATCAATAGTATTTTTTGTATCTTGCGCATTTTAAATCTGTAAGGTGTTCCGAAACATTCGAAAGTATTAAGAAATTTTCTATACGTGTCAAAGGTAAAGAAATAAGACGAAACTTGATTTATCGCTGCCATTTTTTTGTATCGTTCGTAATACTGCCTTTATATTGTATTATGAAAGAAGGAGGTACGATAGTGTTGCATATCTTAATGTAATTTTTTTAATTCGAGTATTCGTATGTTATACTATATTGCAATTACAATCCAGATTTGTAACCATTTTGCAGTTTTCAAGTGAGCTCTATCTGTTTGCGACCAGATTATGAATAATGAAGCGCGATCTTTTACAGCACGAGATTCGAGATGGGGATGCATAATAAAAAAAAAAAGAAAGAAAGAAAACATATACGAGACTCTGAATGTTTCACGCCACTCGATTTCGTGCTCTGTAAATCACCGCTGTCTAAATAATTTTATCATATAGTAATGTACCTTTATATCTCAATCTTATAACGTTCATGTATTTCAGCTATAAAATCTTTTTATCAAAAAATCCAGCATATCTAAGTATGATTCCCAAGAAGTTCCCTCTAACATAATCATATAAGTAACATCATTTTTTATATAAAATGAAAAACTTTTTAATATATTAAAATTCGTACATCTTATTATAAACGATTCGGACAATTAGTTCAGAAAGCATGTGGAATGTTTTTATTGTGAATAAGTAACTTTTTATAATCGCGTGATGTATGTATATATATATATGCAATTTATAATATATCGCGGGCTATAATTTCTTTTTTAAAATCATTTTTTTAATATGCAAAAACACAATAAAAATAAATACGATATTATATAAATCATCTAGTGTATCCAACGCGATCCCTGGGAATCAACCTAAGTTCCGCGCCATGCTTAAGAAATACATTTCCTGAAAGCATAAATTGTACGTTTAATACTCATATACTTGAAATGAAAAGACGTTACGGTATATTATAAGATCTACCTGCAGTTTGTTGAGGATTAATTCCTATGCCATCGTCTGTAATTATGGCCGACGTAGCTGGCGGCACTCTAAACTCCTCGGCGGCAAATTTTAGTACGGCAGTAAAGGGAGTATTTTCTGGTACGCTAAGTCTGCAATTAATAAAATAAATACATGCGTTTCTTATTTGACAAAACGATGGCAAATTTATAATGGTAAGAAAAAGATCGCCGTACAGATATGTAAAGTAATTAAACTTTTCACGTCTTAAATTTTTTCTTAATATAGGATTGGTAATTATTTCGTTAACAAAACAGATTTACAAGCGATGGACAATTTTTTATTCTCCTTTTGCAAAAGAATTATATTATAGAACAATACAAAATATACTTTATATTACAAAATCGTCAAATCAAATCTGAAAAAATCAATTAAAGATATCTGCTTCAACATTGCTCCATATCTCACTATCCGGCTGAGTTTTAACGGTAGTCATTCTATTGTGTACTCGTTCGCGAATTGCGCGAGGGCCGTTCAGCAAAATTTTCACTATCTGGCAGAGATGTTTGTACTCGAATTTAAAATTCGAGCACCACATTCCGTCCACGTGGTACATGTTTCGGCCGAAGTAGAATATCGCATCGACGAAATCTATGGAGAACTGAGTGCTGTCCTGAAGTAGTCTCAAGAGCGATTTCTTTTCGGTATCTACCAGAGCTACGCATATCTCGGGATCGTAGTCGGTTAGCTTCGGGGTAAAAGTTTGTACAACCAATCGCCTAATCGTGTCGTCGTGCGACTCAACCGCCAAGTGTACGAGTCTCGAGACGTGGTCGTCGTTCAACATCTTATTCACGCATTCCGTTACTTCGTCCTCGTCGCCGTTGGCTATTGCCATTTGCCACGACATGATCAACGCCTCGTCCTCCAGGCGAGACGACGGTACTCCTAGTTCCCCTAAAGATTCCACGATCACGTTCGCGGCAATGGAGCTGCCTAGCATTTGATTCAGGAAGGCGTTCAGTCTGTCCTGTCCAAAATGTTGGGTGTACAGTTTCAGGTATTCGTCGACTACCTCCGTGGGAACGCGACTGTCCTTCATGTAACACTCCAACAGTTTGTCGCAAGCTCTCTCCAGATCGGAGCACGTGATGTCCCGATTCTGCGGAAACAGCTTCCGCCCGAGCTCCCGACGTAGGCACTTCTCGAAGGGCGATTTCTTGCCCTCGGCCTGCACCTTGGCAACGGCGACCTCGACGTAGTGAGCGCAGCTGAAAGCTTGCGTCGCATTTTCTACGCTCATCTGTTCGCTAACGGCCGGACTCTGCAGCAGCGCGAGAAACGCGTCGACGGTCCTAAAGATTTCAGAGCCGGCGGCTTGCATGTTACCCTACTACGCTTCTTCTAATTAAAATTTCTATTCTACGCAGCCACTTACACTTTGTATGGCAGATTAGGATCGGACGTCAGAGTTATTCTGAATGTGACTTTGGACCTGTAACACATGGAATTTTGCATGAATACATGCTGTGCAGCAACAGCTTGACAGTTCGAAGTAACAAAACATATGGTTTCCTCAATCGTACCCACACATCCCCTGTTGTATATTCAATTTCATATTTACTACGAATCTTATAGAACTTTTGTAGAAGATACGTACGCCATAATCGTTCACACGCAGAATCAATAACTGTATAAAATGTGATAGGCAATGATAATCGTCCCAACTCGCAGTCAATTTGCAACTGACTGTAAATCCAAGTTCCAACCTTCCAACACATCCAACAAGAATTGCAACCTATCCTAACCTCTATTTTAAGACACGATGATGTGAGCAACACGCTTAGACACCTAGTGGCAATCTTGCACAATTCATCGATGTGTATTCAATGCAATTATGTTATCGGCATGTTAATAATGTATATATATTATATCTCGATTAAAATTAACTTCTTTTTCAGTTACGCATATCTATATTATCAAAAATAAAAGATTAAGATCATATAGTTATATTTTCTTGATACTTTATTTTATTTAATTAAATTTCAGATTACTTGTTAAATTTTAATTTTTAAAGTTTTGATTAATATAATTTCAATACTACTTTTTTCTATCTGCTATATTTCTTGGTATTTTGACAATTTTTGAGAAATTTTTAATTTTACAAAATTTTAAAATTATACGTGTATTATACTTGTTAATAGAGACTCAAAAGTTTAATAAAATAGAGAAACGTAACAAGATAGAAAATGATTGTATCAAAACTCTGAGCATTATAATTACAATATTTTTATTTTTAAACTGTATTTTTTTAAACAGATTCAATAGACGTTCTCTCGTAAAAATGTGGTGCCGCGTCTAACAACATTTCTGGCTGTATGACAGTCAAGTCCTTCATATAAGTTTTATTCGTTTGCAAAATTTCGCAAAATAGCAACCTAGAATGAAATAATATTAAATGAAATAAATAAAACTTTCAATAGAATAATCCAATCGAATTTTCTTTTATATTTACCATTGCGGCTGCTGTAGAGTATATAAGCAACTATTTGGATGAATGTACAAATCCTTATTGCCTCGAACCGTTCTATACATGCCTGTGTAATGCAGATATGCCGCTTTAGGAAAGAGACCAGCGGTCAAACACTTGAGAATTTGTTGAACATTCCCTAAAAGATCCAGAATTATTATTTTTTGATATAATTCAAAACTAGAGATATAATTATTTTTGTATTTTGCAATTAAATTTAAGTTTTCGTACCATTGCAGGATACCAGTGGAATGTCTAGGCGTTTCAGCATTTTATGCATCTGCACGCGAATTTCCATAACTCTTCGCAGAGCTTTGTGATTGAGGAAATGTTGCTGGCACCAAGCGGGCGTTTTATTCTGTTCAAAAGCTGTGTAGACGTTCAGCAACGTGAGAAGATCTCCCTCTTCCACTTCAAATTTGCGGTGCGCTATTCTCGCTTTTAGCGCCGCTTGCCCTCCGCCGGGTTGCACGAAAACGTTCTGAACTTGTAGCATGGCGAGTATCGTCGTGATCTCCTCGGAACACCCCATCTCACCTATCAACAACAAAAAATTATAAATTTACTGCTATAATCATGATTTTATATAATACTATTGCTATATTTTGTAGAGCTTTAAAAATTTCGACTTCGAAAAATGTCACTGACTTTATAAAGAAGTTTTGCATTTTATATTGTACTTTAAAAATCTATTAGCATAGCTGTCCTTACCAGATACGATTAAGAATTTCGTAAATTTACTCCTATAATCATGATTTTATATAATACTATTGCTATATTTTGTAGAGCTTTAAAAATTTCGACTTCGAAAAATGTCACTGACTTTATAAAGAAGTTTTGCATTTTATATTGTACTTTAAAAATCTATTAGCATAGCTGTCCTTACCAGATACGATTAAGAATTTCATAAATTTATTGCTATAATCATGATTTTATATAACACTACTATATTTTATAGGGATTGAAAAATTTCGATTTCGAAAAATGTCACTGACTTTATAAAGAAGTTTTGCATTTTATTATTGTACTTTAAAAATCTATTAACATAGCTGTCCTTACCGGATGTGATTAAGGATTTCGCTAGCACCGGTTCCAAAGGCATCTCCGCCATCGTCAGACCTAACGGCGTCGTCAAATCTCCGTTACTGTCGATCGCACCTAACGCGTAAAGCAATTCCAATCCCGTGACTAGATTCTTGCTGGGCGGCGCGGATGGAAAATTGAAGCGCAATACATTATCGATGCCCAGGGCCTTCAGTTGCAGTATCGCCGGTGCCAAATCTGATCGCTGCATCTCCGGTGGCGTAGCTTCGAACAGTTCAGCGTAAGCCTCTTCCGTGTACAATCTGTAAGATTGAAAAGTATTTTATCATATCTGCGCAATATAATTTTTATATACGGAATAAAAAATACACCACTACTACGATTACTAGAAACATACATAATTACGATTACTCGAAAACATACATAATTAGCGTACGGAACATAGTAATTAGCCGCTTGCTTCCTTTACCTAAATGCTTTTCCACTACGCATGCGACCTGCGCGGCCGGCTCGCTGATTGGCGGACGCTCTTGATACGGGCACGATAACGAGGCTGTTCGTTTGCGTTTCCGCTTCAAACCATGGTATCTTGACGAAACCGCAATCGATTACTGTACATTACAAAGTTCCGGTTATATAATGTCGAGTCAAGCGCTGAGAAGGGGATAAAAGCGCACTAATATACCATAAACGATATTTGGAATAGTAATGGACGTTTCCGCGATGTTGGTAGCTACGATAACTTTGCGAGTGTCTTTAGCGGCCCTCCAGAACACCTTAAGTTGCTCCGCGTTCGGAAGTGATCCGTACATCGGTAATGGAAGCAGCTTCTCTAGAAATAAATTATCCAATTTAGCTTTAAAAAATTCGCCTATATATATATTTTTTAATTAATTATACTTAATATATTATTTTATATATGTATATGGGAAAGAATTAAGGATTAATGCAATAACTTAAGAATTGACTCCTTTCTCGAAATTTTTCTATATTAAAAATTCTGACTATTCCCTATCTGGGAAACTGCTCGATCACTTTTATTTTACTCACGTTTGTCGTCTTTTATAAGCTTTGCGTGTTCCGATAAAAGGGACACGGCTTGATCGACCTCGTCGAGTCCTGTGAGGAACGCCAGAATGTCACCCGACTCCTCCGTTTCGTGTATTTTTAGAGCGGTGTCTACTACGCCGTTAACATAATTCGCCACTGGTTCTGCAACGTGATACAACCTTAATTAAACGGCAAGCGTTAATAATTTCAGTCACGAACGTCACGTGACTGCGCGGCGCGCGCGTGTGTGTGTGTGTGTGTGTGTGTTGTATACCTTTCAGAAAAAATACATCCACCGGATACAACCGCCCCTCGACGCTCATGATAACCGCGCTATCTTTACTCAAGTCCTTCGTCGTATTTACGTTAAAGAAATCTCGAAGCTCCTCCGCGTCAACCGTCGCCGACGATACGATAATTCTCAGACTCTTCCGTTTCTGCAAACGTTTCAACAGATAACGTCAATTTATTGTATCTCGCGCGCGAGGAAAGTTACGTCCGCCAATAAATACTCAACGAATTTACCCTGATTATTTTTTTCAGCAGCCCCATTATGATATCAGTCAGGAGCGTTCTCTCGTGCACTTCGTCCAGAATGATGACCGAGTAGGTTGTCAATAACGGATCGCTCATTAATTCCCTCAGGAGAATACCCTCCGTCATGTACTACAAAGACGCCGTTTATACGTTAGTTTTTTTTTTTAACGAAATATAATACGCACATACGTGTTAATACAAAATACACAGAAAAACGCTGATATTACTTCTAATATTTATCATGGTGCAACAACGAAAAAATGCAATTAATGATCTTTCATGATGTTAAATTAGAAATTATTTCGAGTAGAAGTCGAGTAGAAGCGTTTTCCGTTCTATTTGTTTTACGTTCGCGGCGTCGCACCTTAATTTTGGTCGTTTCGTCAGTGTAATCATCGAAGCGTATGCAATAACCGACGGTGGTCCCTAGAATGCAATTACGTTCGTCGGCCACGCGATTCGCTAGAGAAGTGGCCGCGACTCTTCTGGGCTCCGTGATGCCGATCTTCTTCCCGTCTGCGCACCATCCTGCCTCGAGAAGATACTGAAAAAAAAAAATTAAAAACGTGGTTTATACGCATAATATTATACTATTAATTTGTTTCAAGACACATTTTATTATGCACAGTATAGAAAATTGAATTCAATGATAAGTATCCATTAAAATATGTGCTATCATGAGTAAAAAAAAAGAATATTAATAAAAATTATTATCTACCAATAAATTAATATCATTCATCAATATGTATGTGCTTGAATAATTTAATATTCATTATTATATAATGTGTAAAAATTCATTTGCATAATTCTGAAAAATATTTTTACACTGAAGGATTTATTTTTGGATGGAAAAACGATAAAACAGATGTGAACGAGTGTTTCAGGAATAAATTGTTTATATAAAAATACTTTTATTGCACATTCTCGTTATAAATATTAAATACAAGATACTAGCCACAGCGTTATAAACTTTGACGAAACCTTATACCAAACGCAACTATTGACACTGATCGCGTGTTATTCAGAGCATTACGAAACTTGGTTTTTCGTCTTACTATTACGTGCATGTAATAGTTTTTTTTTTGCATACGTTCGTTTATATTCGTGCTGCAGTTAGGTAACATCCTTGGCACTGGATAAGATAAAAATGCCTAACTGTATAGTCAATAACTGACCTATTTCGACGTAGATACAACCGTAAGTTGTCTTGTATAGCAGCGATAAGAAAAAGAAAAATACTGGAACGCGTTGCGTACAGTTATATGTATTTTCCTGATCAATTTCAGTTTTTACTTAAAATATTTGTCGCGCTATTTTAGAAAGGCAAATCCATACATATAAAAGTTTCATTGTTTAAAACTTAAGAATACACAAGCAACTTGCAATAAAATATATTATTTTTTTTATATATCACATGTATTAAATAAAACACAAATGACATTAAGAAGAAATAAACTTATGGATCAGGAAATGCGTACAAGGAGGACCGCAAACTCCCGTTCACCGACAATACTTCCATATAAGTGTACGTATAGTGAAGCTCGCTAATAAGGACAAGCAGAAGCAACACTGTGGGTAGCTGCCACCACACGAGTCTGACGTATTCCGAAATGCGATCGAGAAATATTGCCAGAAGCATATAGTCCATCATCGCGTGGAAGTTGAAGATCTTCCACGCGAGAGCGACGGTCCAGAAGGAGATACTTCTGAAGACGACGGTCTGCCTGTCGTACAGATCCTGCCGGCCGATCGTCGACGAGACGTCGGACTCCAGCAGATCCTGGTAGACGGCTATGTACCGGTTCCAAGCGATGCTCGTCAGGGAGAAGTGGAGGCCCACCATCAGCACGCTGTACAGAGGTGATCTCCGGAACGTGGTGGAGGAGGAAACGGAATTGTGGGACGACAACAACGACGACGATGACGACGACGATGACGACGATAACGTCCGAATGAGCAGCCCCTCGTAACCGGCGCGATGATTAAAGCTGCGCCTCAGGAAGAAGAACACCGCGACCGTGAGAGCGATGCAGCCGAGACCGTCGCAAATGCCGTCCACGAGATAGCCGACGGACCCGACGTCCGATCTCTCGCCCTTGACGTTGCGCCTCGTCCTGGCCACGTGGCCGTCCAGATCGTCCAGCCAGGCCCGGACTTGGAACAGGACGACACCCACTCGTCTGTAAAAGAGGGAACTCCGTGTGACGTACCGGGCGCCGATCACAGCCACCGCTACGTGAGACACGCTGATGGCGTTCGGCGTCAGCCACATCCAGGTGCGGCTGATGCCCAGCAAATGATCCACCAGGGACGCCAGCGGGCTCAGGACGTAGTGATTCGGATGGTCCAGCATCATGGCCTTCACCGTCACCGTGCAAATTGGATTCAGGTCGCAGGAGATCGGCGAATTATACGGCGAAACTCGCGTGCCGTTCACGGACGGACGTACGTCGTAATTCTGCACTCGGAGGTAAAGTAATACATCCATCCCGACGAAGTACAGCAGGAACAGAAATGCCAGACATGTCTTACTAAACATCGACGAATACATCTTCCGAGATGGAAGGCCTCGTTACGCTCCTCGTCGCTTTATTTTTTTTCCCCCTTTGTAATACCGTTTCCTTTGTTTATCTAAGTCAATTCAGTTGTATTTATTCTTCTAATGACTTATTAATTATTTGTCATCTGATTAAAAACCGACACGCCCCGCTGCGGCACACTTCGATTATTATTCTTACTAATTAGCGACGTTCCATAAATTTAGCTTGCGTTTTATGTGTCGAAAAAAATCTTGCTGAGCATGCCTTTTTTAAATATTGTATCGCCTCGTTGATCGACACGCTATGACATCCCTCACGATGGTCCTCCTCTTCGTCCTTTCTTCTAGACGTATATCCGAGTCGCGATTTGATTTTTAATTGTTCCGTACTCTTCCACGCGACGTTAGCATTATAGCTTCAGCAAGAACAGCTTCCTTTGTCGTACTGACCGAGCGGTTTACCAGCAATAACTGGCGGCACCTTGTTACAAAATTTACGTCACGTAAATGTAATTACGTTGAAATGAACTTGTCATCGAAGTCAGACGACGCGCTCCGCGTCTCTCTACCGCGTCGTCGGCGCGCGTATTCTGAAACTTACTCAACAATACGTCGCGTCTCAAGCCGCAACTGGGCCATTATCAGCTCCGCCGCAAGCTTCCTCGCATCAGATTATGACACCCCGTTGCTTTTCCATCTATTTTGGATAATGAGCGGACAGAGATGACCGGATATGCGTGCGGCGAGTGTCCTGTCTCGGCTTCCGACGACTCCTCTTTTTTTTTTTCTATTCCTTTCGAGAGACCGCGCGCGATCCACGAAGTCGCGGGTCGCACTAAGGCGGAGGAGACAGGCGCAGGTGGCCCGCTCGCGTTCACCTTCGCCGATCGCGGGTTTCACTCCGTTCCGTAATAGGTCAATATCAGAGCTTGATCCGCGATTATCTTTAATCCAATCCGACGGAGGCTCGCGCGCTCGCCGGACGTTGACACGGGCCGCGTTAAACTGGTAGCGCTCGCAGGGCAGGAGCGCCGCGTATATATAATTGCACGCGAAGATAAAACAAACACGATAAGGATGACAGAAGAAGCGGCAGCATCATTCCTCTTTCTTAACTTCCCCCGACTTCCCACGAGACGCATCCCTAAAACGGCCAAATGTTCGAACTCTCGTATTTACGAATGAATTGAAGTCTAGTAGATGCTCTCTCTTGTGCGTAGAATTCTATTTATATCTGCGCGGTGTTGAGTTTCGTTTGGAGTTCGGATGTATGTACGAAGGTCGCGTGTGCAACGGAAAATGATGTAGGCATAAACGCACGCCATGTTTAGAGCAGAGTGCAAGCATCGGCGGGGGAAATAAAAATTTTTATTTCCACGCATGAATAATTCATGAAGATAAAAACTGGTTATTCCTCTTCTCTCCACGTTCTTAAAGTCAATGTGTCTGTTGCACATATTTCAATACATTATGTCGATTATGGATACATTTGTTATATAAATCGTATTCGATAATCGCTGTTGACTAATCTTCAATGTTTACTTGTTTAATTTATACATATATAACCAGTGCAGCGTAGTGGGATTTAAATACATGTTTTCAGCGTATTCATTATAAATATGATTGCAGTTTTAGTTATGTGATATAATTATAATATTAAGAGTCTAATAATAAGATGAAAGTTTGTATGTCATTGAATAATTGGAGCTGCCGAGTGATTTTTGTACATTTTTTTGAAAAAATACGCAACTGAAAGATGCCTTAATATTATTTAAATAAAAGAATCATTGCCTCCTACTACTACTGTCTCTCATGACAGAATATTAACTCTTAACTCTAATATCTTTTATACAGAATATTAACTCTAATATCTTTTAACTTGTGTAGATTTTGTTACTGAAATACTGACACTGGCAATTATTGATTCCCATATATATTCCCAGTGTGAATCAAGATATTTGTGGATACAATAAATTTTAATAGAAATGCCAGAGACTCTGTCATCTTAATCAATAAGTTATATGTTCAAAATTTACCTGAGGGACTTGGGTGCTTTTGCCACAGCCTGTTTCGCCGACCAGGACCAAGGTCTGGTATTTCTCCAGCAAGTAAATAATGTGATCCCTGTTTTTGAATATAGGCAGCCGTTGACGCTGCATGTCGAGCGCGAGAGAATGATGCGCATTGTAAACAAACTGTGTCGACGAGTGGGCATCAATATCAGGCTTATCCTCCTGCCACATGCTGTCTCCTGACATAATAAAGTTTCGAATTAGTAATCGACATCTCACAATTTTTTTTTAACAACAAATCAAATGAGACTTTCATGCTTTTTTGTTAAACTATTTAATTAGATTGCACAACAAACGAATTGTTGAATTATAAGCTATCTCTCGCCCAACATGGCAGTTAAATAATCACTGGCACATCTCAATAATTTATAATATAAAAGTTGAGGGCAATTAAATTTAATGGAATCGCAATAAATGTATGTGTATATGAATAATACTCAATAATTGAATAACATAACCTGAATAACATAACCTTACCCGGCTTGGAGAAAACCGGCCGAAACATCTTTGGAGAAGATTAAAACAGCTTCGACACAGGAAAATTTATAATATATATACGTTACTTAAATGGTAGACCATAAGTAATACGAATAAAATAAAAATAAATACAACTGCATATTAGCAGCACAGAAGTGTCTAATGTATACAAACAACCACAACAAGTTTTATGGCACTTTTACGACAGATGGCTCTAGCCATTGCCATTTTACACGTGCGTCCGCCAAATTGCCGCTTAATAGCTTCTGATGGAATAACAACATAAAACGCAACGACGAGTAATAATTCTTATAACGCTGACGCAGAAACTTGCTCGTAATTCCACACGCAATATGCGATGCACGTTATGGATGGCACGCTTTAATTTTTGAAAGTACATACAGTGACTGCAGGTATATGCGCGTTTACTGTTATCAGCTGTTTTCTTGTTATCTCGCGCGTGACACGTATAACGTCTGTGATAATGATTTTGTTTTGATAGATAGAACTCTGCTCCGGTCTCTTGCCCTGCAGCCGTTTCGGGAGTCAAGATGTCGTCAGAAGCTTACGATGCCGACTACGACAAAGTATGTAATATTTGTGAATTTTATTGAAATATTTTTCTCAAGGTATTTAATTATAAAGTAATAAGTATCTAGAAACCGTGGAGTGTTAACTAACAATTGAGAGCTTTAAAACGCCAAACACGGTAAAGCGGATCCAGGTGCTCCCATATAGTTTATTTAGTACGAATCTTACGTGTTTAGCGTTTTAAAGTTCTCAATTGTTAGTTAATTATAAAGCTTCTTATTTAATCTTATTTAATCAACGCATGTTTAATTGTGATTCTTTCATAGTAGTCTGTTCCAAAGTTTTCATATCATTTACGCATATGCGTGTTGATTTATTAATGTGGATGTTGTAATTAAGTCTTAAAGCCTGGTCTACAATTATGTAAGCGTAGTTGTAAGTAATTGTAGTTGTAAGAACTGACCAATTTCAGTCGAATATTCTTCTTATATTCGATTGTAATATTCTTACAACTACAACTATTTGCAACTATGCTTATGCAATTGTAGACCGGTCTTAAACGAAATTTACTTTAATTCTAAAACTTATGCGTGTGTATCGATTTAATTTAACAATATCATTTATTACTTTTACGCAGGAACACCCAAGAAATCTTATTCCAGAACTGTGCCGGCAGTTTTATCATCTCGGATGGGTGACTGGTACTGGTGGCGGTATCTCCATAAAACATGAGTTAATATCTGCGGTTACACATATTGCTCTAAAGGCTAAAGATTGCCATATCCATAAAATTATTGAAAATATGTATAGACATTAAAATTATTTCTGTCCTACAGAGACAAGATCTACATAGCTCCTTCTGGTGTGCAAAAGGAGCGCATGGTGCCCAACGATATGTTTGTGCAGGATATCAATGGGACAGATTTGGAATTGCCTCCGCCGGAGAAGAAACTGAAGAAGTCGCAATGCACTCCGCTATTCATGTGCGCGTACATAAGAAGGCACGCAGGTGCTGTGATTCATACGCACTCGAAGTTCGCTGTGATGGCAACATTATTGTGGCCTGGGAAAGAAGTCAGGCTCACTCATCTCGAGATGATAAAAGGTATACATTTAAATCGCTTCTCCTTCAAATCCATTTATAATTAATTTCACATTAATGACAATATCAAATGATTTGACTTATATAGGAATATGGAATCAGAAAGAGGGTAGAGCGTATCGTTACGACGAGGAGTTGGTAATACCGATCATAGAAAATACTCCCTTTGAGAGGGATTTAAGGGACGATTTAGATAAAACTATCGTTCGTTATCCCGAGACTTGCGCGGTATTGGTACGCAGACATGGGATTTACGTGTGGGGCGATTCTTGGCAACAGGCGAAAACTATGTAAGCTACTTCGCTATTGTGTATCAGCAATGAAATTTATTAATGATTTTTGTTCTTAAATTGTGTTTCTCTTTCTTTTTACAGGACGGAATGTTACGATTATTTACTCGATATTGCAGTTCAGATGAAACAGTGTGGCTTAGACCCATCAGCGACTCCAAATGATTATGAATTAAAGTACCAAGCAAATAACGACGTTATTACCATTCTATAATACATACAAGTGATCTACAGAATTGTTTGGACTTAAAAATGAATACAAAATTAATTTTTATGCCATAATTTGATGTGCCATAATGCCACAATTTATCTGTATATACATTTTTTGGGCATATAAAAATTCTATAATACATACAAGTGATCTACAGAAATATTTGGACTTAAAAATGAATACAAAATTAATTTTTATGCCATAATTCGATGTGCCATAATGCCACAATTTATCTGTACGCACATTTTTTGGACATATAAAAATTAAAATAAGAAATAGATTATAAAATTTTAATTATGACATACTTCATACGAATATATACACTACTGTACGTATATTATGTACGTATACTTAAAGCATAAATAATACGGATATTTTTAAGTATCTATGTCGAATGGCGCAAATTGTTTCCTAATCTTCTTCGCCAGCTCAGTCTCTTCCTCTTGGCTCATATGACAATCTTTCCAATCAGACCTATCGTTGATATCTAATATCCTGTCGGACGCTAATACTTCTCTACCGAATTGTAGCGGGAAGTCTTTCTTGATCCTATAATACAAGATTCCTCCGTCCGGTAATTCTACGTAAAAATATAGAACGCCGGGTGCGGCGATCTGCTGCAAATCTGAGTGTGGCGGCAACTCCGTTATTTTGAAATTGTTACATTCGGCCAATTCCTGAAAGCAGAAATTCGTAAATTTATATATATATATTAATATTTATATATATATATATAAAACAAAAGGTACGTTCGGACATTCTTTAATTAAAAAACAAAAATTAAGAAAAAATACCTCGAACATTTCCTTCAGTGCGGGTGCTTGATTTTTATGAACAGGTACAGCTTGCAATTGACAGTGAGACGTTTTGAAGTTTCTCTCAAAGAACACGGGTACTCTGTCGGTACTCTCGTAGTACTTGCTCACGGCTTTCTTGTAGAGATCCATCTCCTCCTTCACGGTCTTCGGTAGAATCGACAGACTCTGATGATGCGTTATCGGTAGAATTAAGAGATGATCCTCCACCAGACCGCCCTTCGCCAGTGCCAGGTAGATCTCTGTGCCGACGGAGATCACCAGGTGCTTGGAGACCACCGGACTGGACAAGCAGAACCAGCACTTCGACTGATCGAATTCCGGCTTCGCCTTTTTATTCAGGCCGCTGTTCTGATGCCGCGATCTCTTCGCATTGTCTTTCGAGTCCATGTCGTAGAAGAACTGCGTGTGAGCCTGCTTCTGCGAAGTCGGATCGTCGGACAGCATAGATTTGGGATACGGACTCGACGTCTCGTCGGTCGTCTTCATAACCAGATCCGACAGCCTGGTCCTGTCGACGGGTGTCAAATTCAACGCGTACAACCACTTCTTCTTCTGGTCATTCAGTGTCGGCGCGAGAGCTATGAATCTAGTGGCTATTTCCATACTTTCGTCACCCTGGCTTTGATTTCTGTAATAAAGAGGACGTCATTTTCAACGTGATTTTGTATTTGTTTTCAGAAACTTTGATTTAAACCTTAAACTTTCAAGAATAATGACCGAATAATTACCGATATGGTGGCCGTTCGTAATAAATCCCTTCCAAGGCCGACACGTGATATCTAGGTTTAATGTGAGTAGCGAGCCAGGCGATTAACTTGGAACCCCTGTACTTGCATTCCGGCTTGTTGGCGTCGAGATTGGTCACGCCTTCCGGCCACGGAGACGTCAGCAAGACGTCCACGCCGCGAAAACTCGGTTGGCCCTTCAAGCAACTGTTCCTGACGGACACAACGTCGTGCTCGTCGAAGTGAATGGCCTTGTTCTCGGGCGGGACTTTCTCGATGCCACTGACATACGCTATTTTGAGACCCGAACTGGCCGTGTAAAGACCACGCTTTCCGAGATAAGTGAGATTCTGACATATCTCGCATCCATCCTCCTCGGGATACTCCGTCAGGTCCGACTCTCGGTTGGGGCCGATGATGTACGTGGGTACCGGGATGGTTTTCTCGCAGGATTTGTACGACTCCAATTCGGAGTTATCCGCGCCGAAGAAATTGCCGACGCATAACAGAAAATCGAATGGGCCGCTTTTCTTGTTGATAGCGTCGACTTTGGAGAACAGGAACTTGAAATGCCCTTCCACATCCCCGCAAATAAGGACTTTCTGCTTGTCACTCATGTTTGACAATCAAATTGTAATGGTTTGTGTCAATCACAACCAACGATCATTGATTCTAAAATATTTCCAGATTGTTTTAAAAGACAGCTCTCGCTTGCATATGTTATTTTTCTAAGAGAAATATTGTGATCACTAGTGTTTTGTAAAATTTAATCAAATTATTTTTGCAGTACCTTCTCGATGATATTCTGGAGTACTTTCGTACGTAGTATACAATATACATATGTTTTCGTTCTGATTCGAGTGATTGTAAACAGAAAACGAAGAGCAATCCCCTTGAATTCCCTAGAAAATTTAGTTATTTATATAGGGAATTTTCAAAAATACTAACATATTTTTATTAGCAGTCAGTTGATCTGTTACATAATCTTATCGTACGATAAAAATAAAATTAATTCAATATTATAATTTTATATATTTATTAAATGCATCCCACAAGGAATTACGAATTTGTAAAACTTTCTAAAAAATTCTAAAAATTTTCAATCCTATAATAATCAGTTGGCGCACAAATAGCATATTGGACAAAACTGTTGAAAAAATATTCTAGTTTGGTAAATAACGTGGCAAAGATGTTTAAAAATACTTTTGAACTAAAGTTTTTCAAGTATGAATTTAGACACTTTTTATTAATATACATATGACAATTTTCGTTAGACAATTTTTTATTAATATAGCGAACTTTCCACTGTCGATAACAAAATAGTAATTGTTTGTTATCCTCGGTAGTTTCGGTACACAGTCAAAATGGTTGGTAATGTCAATGTTCTTCAATTACCCCCGGGCCCACTTGACAGTCACAAAAATTGCTTTTTAGCCGAAATTTTCATTTATTTTCAATATTGAATTTTTTTTTACATTTTCATTACATTTTCATCGTATATATGTATAGCCTGAAGATTTTTAATTAATATAAATTTACCTCGACATTTTAATATTGGGATTTTTATCTTAAATAGTACCTCAACACCTCTGCACAGGGACACTCAAGTGATGTTTCTGAACGCAGCTAAATGTAGCAAAAATCGCATCGTGTGTCGTAGGCTTCAGTTGAAGAACTCTTCGAACAAATGTATAGAATTTGTCTCCATCTTATCGTTAGCTAATATCCGACAGAAATTCAATCAAAATTTAAAAAAATATAATATACGTTTTTACATTTATTATTATAATATTTACAATAGTTCTGTATGATAAATATTAATAAATTAAATTGCGACGCCTCATCGGTATTATTACCTAAATTAGGATTTATTATTAGGAATGATAAAAATAATAAAAATGTAAAGCTATAATAGTTTATTTGCATTAATTACAAATGAAACTACGTGCATTAATAATAAAATATTCCATATTCTAAAATTAAATAAAATACATATATATCGCAAAGTATGAGAATTTCGATAGTTTGAATGCGATTGATGATATATACGAAATGCTTCTGATAATTTCTTAAGTTTTTGCAAGAGATGAAATAGAGTACTACAAAAGAAAATGATAAAAAGAGAAAAAAAATATATACTATTAAATACTGTTTTAAAGAATCGAATATCTATACATAAGAGAAAGATTAAATTTTAATTATGATTTATATCAAAAATTGAATTCTTTTCACTTTCAAGAAATGGTTGCTCTTGTATCATTAATTTATTGTCTCGCGCTTATAAAAAAGAATATCTATAACAAAAAAGGCAAGGGACGGTCTCTGAGAAGTCGGTGTATTTCAACATTATTGTCGAAACACCTTTATTCCTATTGGACCAATGGGGAAAATTTAAAATTTCTACTTGCCGTGTGTATCATTATAATTGCTCGAACGTGAGAGTTGGAGGATTTGGACAGATGCAACCTTTGATTGTTGTCTCGGAAGACTGCTACCTGCGCATCTGAATTTAACGTTCGATGCTTCAGGTGATTCGATGCACAAGGTGTTTTGTGCAAGGACTGCAAGGTGACTTCGTAAATCGCACGTACGTGATGAAAACAAAGAACATGTACAAAAAGAAAAAATACTAGAAACGGTATAAATATAATACCCCAAGCCTTTTGAATGCAGGTTCTTTCCAAACCATCAATCTTTTACAACGTTTATAACGTTTATAAATGACATTTTCAACATTTGCATATATGTACAGGATATCCCGTAAAGATTTATATAACAATGTATAATAATATTTAAAAGCAGATTCCTGAGATTATTTTAAGACAAAAATCCCAGTATTAAAATGTCGAGATAAATTTATATTAATTAAAAATATTCAGGCTATACATATATCCGCAATAAAAATGTGAAAAAATTCAATGTTAATGAAAATTCATCGGCTCGCGTCACTTGCACGTGATCTCGCGCGTGTATAATACACTATAGTTGAAGGCATGAGACTACTATATATGTCTCCTGCAGATGTTAAGTTAAATATAAAATGCGGATAAATATTTAAATTTTAGCATTTGATATGATTTAAATTATTTTTAGTTTTAAGTATATAAAACACTAATTTATATATATTTATAATTGTTTATTTTCCGGCGCTACTAAAATCTTTCAATACATACGGAGCCACATCAAGGCTACCAAGATAAATCGGTCATGTAACTTTCTTCTTATTAGGACGGAAACGTGAAAAAATTTCTCTGTTAACTTTAATGGTAAAAATTTTCACTTTTTACATTGTTGCTCTAAGAAAAAGTTTACATGATCAATTTCATAGAACAAAAATGAAAAATTGCGCATTTTTTAAAGATATTTGAAAAAGTTATTTAAAAAAATATCTTATATTTAAAACATTAATAAATAAAAATATTAAGAAGGAGAGCAAAATCCTCTTTGCACAAAGGCACTTTATATGTCAGCGGCGGCCCAGATTCCGTATAAAATTTTCATATTATTGAGATTGTAATAAAACTCACCTCTTTAATAAAATATAAAATTCATTATGACTCTAGTTTTATAAAAATAAGATCTAGTCATATTATATAAGAATAAGCGAGACTTATTGAATTTATTACACGGCCGTTCATTAAATAAATGTCGAATAACACGTGTCATAGTCAAGAAGACAATCGATCCTGCCGATCTCCGACATTCGTCCGCGATTTCCTTCCCAGTTACGGAATTGAAGAAGGGTGGCGAGGATTTGCAACGAGGTGCGCTCCGCGAGAGGGAGGATGTGCGAAGGGTCGCGGCGCAAATTTCACCCCCATTCATCCCCATGTATCGTGCGACGCTAGAACGTTAAAAACGAGCACGAGATGGAGAAGATGCTCGCGCGGCGGCAACGGCATCGGCAGTGCGGAAGAGGAGGACCCTGGACCATCGGGTCGGAGATGGGGATGGAGAGGGAGCAACTCGAAGAGGCTACATTTCCCGCGGCGGTAGAGGGGATACTCGCACAGATGCCACGTGGGAGTGGCCGAGGAAGTTTGCGCCAATGGGATGCGAGAGGCGTTTATCTCGACACACATAGTTAATCTCCTCACCGTAGTACATAGACAGAAGCCGCGACAGAGTGTGCGTTGCCATCACGGAAGTATCTCACACACACACGGTAGCCGGCTAGGGGAACAATGGAGAGGGAGTGAGACAGAGGAAGACGCGGATCTCGCGGAAGCGACGGCGGGAGCGAGAGAGATCTCTTATCCGCGCCGCGCGATACAGATGCCCGAGAGTAAGTAAATAATAAATTATGGAGGATGTGCCCGAGGATACACGAGGACAACTGATATACGCAATCATTAATAACTCTATCAATGAGAAGGGTAGTTGGGTGAGGGTGGCGGATAAACTCGCGGACCCGCCGCGCAAACGTGTATTACGTACGTTTAAACTGGACCGGTGTGACGCAAGAGAGGGAGGCAGGAGAGGAAGGGAGATGAGCGAGAAGGTGCGAGGAGGACGGCGAAGGCGAGGGCGACCGGGGATCGGCCGCCTCGCGGCTGTTGGTCCATGATAGGGAGAAGGGGGGCAAGGGGTCCGGCGTGCAGGGTGCATCCAGTTGTACGGCCAAATATGAGCGACGCTGTGTAAATGGTGCACACGTGCGACGCGACCAGCCTGATAAATTGATTGCGTAAGGTGTCGCGGATTTCGGCGTCTCCCTGCAAGATCCGAAATTGAAGGAACATCACCGCCGCACCACCACCGGCACCACCGCCTCCGCCGCCGCCGCCTCCGTCGCCGCCGCCGCCGCCGCCGCCGCCGCCGCCGCCGCCCGCGTCTGCCGGCGTGCCTGACGGCCGATCTCGGAGTATCGGGTACGGCGGCAGCCGGGAAAAGGGTGCCGTCTCTTCCGAGAACAAACTTCGAAAGGAGAAGAATCAGCCGCCGCGAAGATCGGTCGCGAGCGCGCGAAGCGGCTGGAGCCGCGATTGGGATGACGTGTCCCGAGGAGATCGTCGTGTGATCGTCGCGGGGGAGGGAGTGTGATCGTTTCGATTATCGCGAGAGAGGTGTACCGCAAGCGTCGTATGTTCTTCAGGGAGAGGATATACCTTCGTGGAGAAATTCCGTCGCTGAGAGAAGCGACGAACGACCGCGTTTGCGGGAATTGCGTGAGATGCAAGTTTCATTCGAGATACCGAATTTTAGCGTGACCGAGCGCTATTAATCGCTCCGTCGGCGGCTGTATCGAGTTGCAAGCGGTGATATTCCGAACAAGAAACGGGAGAAGACGGCGATTGCAGAGTCGGCAGAGTGACTATAAACGTTTTTAATTTTACGCCGACATTCGGAGATTCGGTGCGTGTCGTGCAATAGAAACGATTTGAAAAAAGAGATCGAATTGTTTTTGTTATCACAAAAACTAGATCGTGAATTATGCGACGAGAGTTTCAACAATCTCGGGCGGGGAGGAAAACCGAAAGCGAGATTATACGAAGGATCGCTCCAGTACGTTCCATAGAAAACGTATTGATTTCGATCGCGAATCAATCTAACGCGAGGTGCAGCCATTTAAAGAAGTGACTTCTCCGTTTGTTGAACTACAATTTCGACGTGAGTTATAGTTTGATTGACATTTAAATGGCTTGCTTGAGAATACCGGTGGCTCTTCAAATCCCGACGGAGAGGCAACGCAACGGACTCTGAGAGTGCGATCGGTTTATTTCTAATACGAATGTTTGCAAAAAGAAATTCGACACTAATTGACAATCAACGTGTCTAGTGCGTGTATCGGTGTTTTGCCGTAAAGGAATTAGAAGCAGTTTGTCGATAAACACTTCAGGAATAGATAAAAATGAGATAAAAAGCTAGAAATAAAAAAGATATTTCGTACTGATTTCAATAGCTTTAGTTAATTGAAGAGAATCGTTAATAGTATAGTGATTAAAGCGAAAAGAAGAAATCTATTTGAATAATAATAAAATAAAATAACTATTTTCAATGAAAGATCGCTTCACAAAATAGAGTTTCGGAACAAGCTTAAAGCTGTTTATTATTAACGGAAAATTCAAGTCATTTTAACCGCGGATTATTGCTAACGGAAATTTCGAGCTATTTAACTGTGCAATAACAACGAATAAATCGCGACGTAGTGCAATAATAATAACGAATAAGTTCTATAACATTTTTTTTTAACGTAAACGTAAAGCAGGACGTGTATCGCAGTTATCGCAAAAGAAACGCTTAAATGTACCATGAGAAACTAGCATCATTAATAGCTGTGGTTAAAGTGATTCGATCGACGATTGACGAGCTGCCTCGACAAATCGATGGTGCCGACGAGTCTCAAAATTGCGCGGCGATACGAGTGAGGAGAGCGGCGAGTCGTGCCGGAAATGGCGAGGAAATTCGAGGCGTCGCTGGAAATGTGTCAAGTACCGTCGGCTTGATAAAAGTGCGCGTCTCCAGGGAAGTCGAGCGAAATCGGAGGGAGCCTGCCGAGGGAGATTAATTGGTTCCACCCACTCTCTTCCCCCTGCAGGCCCCAATGAGAGATAAAAGCGGGCTCTCACTAAAGGTTCGTAAAACAATCGATTCCGCATTCAAAGAATGGCACGTATAGATATTCAACGTTGTCGCGAGAGCGACGAGCACCGAAATCCCCCCCTTCTCCGTATATATTTTAATTACTTTATATTTGCGAAGTAAAATCGATGTGAAATGCACAGATAGATATAGGGTTTTACAGTTAACTATGTGTTGAGGTCTGGATTATGTTCAAAATTTATGTATATAAAAATCATTGAAACATATTGTCGAAATTATTTAATGTATATGTTTTTAAAGGACAAATTGAATTAATTGTTCCCGTAAGAACGAAAACTTCGAGAGAAAGATTATATATATTTTTTATATTAAATTATTCAATATCAAATTATGGTATCATATTAGGTAAGAGAGACGCATTTGATATAAGTATTCACGTATTCTTTATCTGTACTGCGTCGATATACAAAATGATCGAAGTCGAAACTTGAGACTAGAATGCAACCCGCATTCACCGATATTTCCGATACATCTTTCTTCGATATCTTCGACGTTTCGCATGAGTAATCGTTATCGGCATCTTTGCATTTCGAATAACGACACGCATTTGCACATCAATAGCGTGAGAAAGCGGTAGAAATTTTTGGACAGTCGAGCATCAAATTTTGATGTATTAATAAGAAGATTTATAACAATTTTACAGAGAGTGATATTTAAAATGCTGTTTTTGTATTATTCTATTGTAACTCTATATAGCATTGTAATTAATTGATATATTTATCTGTTATAATTATTAAATCTATTATATTATATATCTATAAATATTTGTCAGTAAATCATGTAATGATTTACCGCCGTAGATATAATATAATGATTTACTGCCATAGAGTTATATGTAATAATTCAATATAACTTAAATAGGAATGTGAATAACTGATGATAGATTATTATTTAATATTAAATAATTTTTTCATTGAAAGTTTTAGGGAAAGAAAGAAAAATGTTTCTCTGTAAATCGAAAAAAGTACCTTTTGTACAATATTGTTTATTTACCGCTGTAAGATTAGCGATTCAAAGTTTGGAAGATTAATATAATTATATAGAAACGTTACCGTTTCTCCAGGAGATTTTTATACATGATTGAATTGACAGTTAAAAGCCCTAACACGAAAGTATCGCGTTATCTAGTTCAAAACTTTATTAGGCATATAGATCAATGTTATCTTGTCGCAGGTGTAATTTGAGCGCGAGGATGCAGGTAAATTGTCCGCTGAAACGCATTGAATTTATCAATTCGATATTGTGTTACGGCGCCCGCATGATCTATGCTATGCGACACAGTGTACGAGTCTCCACCCTTCCAATACACCTCCCGAGATTAATTTTCCTTTTCAGAACGCTCACGATTATTCCAACCAAAGAAATTGAATTAATTTAGGTGTTAAGAAATCGTTACATCAAAAGACGTTTCTTTAATGTAATCGCTAATCGAAAAATCGCTGATGTAAAATAAATTTCTAGATCAAATTCAGCTTCAAGAGAAATTGATTATGATAACATTAAATATAAAAATTTTACTATAATTTACTTGTATTCGAAATTTTTTTCCCCTCAAACAGTCTTTTTTCAAATGTTACGCAACTCGTCAGGCCTAATTAGACTTAAATGAAGCTCTTCTATGACAGAAATTGACTTGGTAAAATTTTTTCCTCTAGAACACCCAATACGTTCCTCCGTCATTTAAATCTCGATTTAAATGTTTATCCTAGATAAGTCGCCTTCAGGTCTTCGTTCACGGCGTAAATCTTCCGAGGCGTGTGTTATTCCGTTAGAATGTCCTCGCATCGAGAATGCATCTACTCAGCCGTTCTATCGCGTCTAAAAGCGCCGTCATGGCAAAAGGGGTTGAAAACGCGTGATTTATCCGCTCGTGAGCGAAACGCGCGTGTGAAACGGATCGGACTATTTTCGAGTCGCCGTACTCACGCGCCCGGATTCTCATTTCGCCGACGAGGGTGAAGGAAGAGGGAAAAGGCAGAAGGAAACGCGCGACGTAAAGTAAATAGGAAGGCGCGTAACGCGTCGCGGCAGCCGCGTCGGGGCGTGCCGTTTCCCGAACCGATTTGTAATGAAGGAACTGTCGGACGTGATCCTTACGCGTGATCCTGACCGCTGCACCCTTCCGCAGTTCACGTAGCAGAAACATCGCGGCCGAGAACTTACGCCTTCGTCGGGCGCGAGCAGCTGTCGCGACGGCGTAAATCTCCGGAATCGCTATACGTGTGCTTCGTTTGGAGACGGGGAGCTCCATTTCGGAGCTTTATTTTCAAACTTTTTTTTAAACATCAAATTATCACTGTTGCGCTTGAGACGAGAAGCCAAACTCCTGTCATATCTAAATCCTTTCGAAATTAACAACGGCGCGGAGGTCTCCCTACGGACATTCTCTCCCATCGTAAAAATAAATTCAAAATTTCTCTAATGTCGTTACAATTACGGAATTCTAAGATAAAAAGAAACAACATGGAAAATATCCTGAGAATGTCCCAATCATGCCCGTGAGTGGCGAAATTTATGTCTGCGTCTTTCGAGGACCTCAGTTAAAATGAATTCCAGAAAAATTGCGATTTTAATCATAAAGTTACTTTCGCCGCTCTCGCAAGAATGCAAGACGATTGTCGGACAATCGGACGATTCGCGAATCATCGATAGGCGAGGTGTTCGCCGTGACGCCCGTATTACCGCGGCAATAATAATAGTAATTCATGAATGGTTCGGTCGCAATGGCTAATAATAGTGGTAAGTAAGTGGTAGTCGTAACGGTGGTGGCAATAATTGAATGAAGCCGCGCGCGCGCGCGCGGGTGCGCGCCTTACAACATCCTGGCACGTGCGTAAACAGCTCTTAGGTAATTCAGGGTGACGCCCGGCGTGTATATGCAAAACGCTCGCAAACAGCGGCGCGCTTTTCTAGAGAAATCTCGCGCGCGAACACGCGCCGATCATTACCTCCTCTCTGCGGGAGCACCGAAGACTTTTAACTCCTTGATTCTCTTCCCACCTCTCTCTCGGCGCACTCGGACGCCCGGAGTACCCGCGGAACAAAGAAGCGCGAGCATTCCCTTAACGGCTGGTCTATATCTGCAGCATGCAGAATTCTCTGAATGTATAACGCCCGAAGCTAGAATAGTAAATAATATGCTGATTATTTCGAATTCCCCTCCTGAATTCTTTCGTCCGCGAATCTTTGGATAGACACTTGCGAAGTGCACACAACAGCTAGATGAAATGAAAATAAAATCAAACATTTCAAGAAATTAAAAACGGATAATGACATGAAATATAGAATAAAATAAGAAAAAAAAACATGACAAACATGATAAAAGGCGTAGTAAATTTTGTGTGGCCTCCTATATTCTTGCTTATTAATTCCAGGAAAGTATTTCAGTGACGGAAAAAGTTATTAAAGCTGATCGGTGTTTATTATTATCTTCTGTATCAAGCGTTACGCCTTCGTTGTCATCTATTATAAGCATGACCGGCCGAAGAATTATATAATAAATTGTTGACACATCAAGATTAACGCCGCCATAACAAACCAATAAACGTTGCATTTATACGATAGTGGACAAAGATCGCGATTTACCAATCGATATTCATGTCATCCTCGAACGAAGAAAATGATATATAATCGCTTTATCGTGAATTATTGTCCTGAAAATTGAATAAATATTTCTTTCGTCCCTCTCGTGATCTCCAAGAAATTTTCTTTTCTCTATACAATTTTCGCAGTCTCTATTTTAATACGAAAAGTTTACGCGAAGAGATAATCCGAAATCTATGCAAAGTTAAATTTTTATGCAATCAACTTTCTAGAGCGAAACTCTCGAAAACTCTTCGTAACAAGAGTTAAATTTATCCACGCGCCGTCATTCGCGCGTCTGGCAATTAAGATTTTTATCAGCGAAACGAAATCTTAGGCGTAACAAAATTGGTGACACCGGCCCTCTTTCACCCCTTCCCCCTAGGAATAGTTTACGCGTCTTCTTTACAGCCTCGTAAAATCTACGGGCACTACATGGAGCGGCGGGGTAACGCCAGAACAGAGAGCGGCTTTGTCTCGGCAGCTCTCGAAAGCCGCGCGGACGTAAACGTATCCGACGGAATATCACAATGTGCGCAGCGGCGCATTGAGTTTCTCCGCAGGCGGAAAATAGAGAAAGGAAGGAAATCTCGCTGGCGCGCGTGTAAAAATTCCCGTCCCGGTTTACGTTTATGTTTTTGCCCCTTGTTTATTGTCCCGGGCGTCGAGCGATTCGTCACAGCGCGCGACGTGTTCGATAGCGAGCGCAATTAATTCTTCGATAATCCAAGATTAGGTTCCGGGAATAGATTCCCGGAAAATTCTTTCAAGTTGAAAGTTCACGGCTCGATTGAGAGATCGCGATTGGATCAGAATAATTTTTCGACACGACGATGTATATGTACACATCCGCGCGCAGAGATTTCTTTGATTCTCAGACTCTCCTACACTTCTATCCGGCAACACTTCTATCCGGCTTCGGCCAGATTTCCGGAAGTGTCCGGCGATGGTCGGGATCAGAGAGACCGCAAGCCACAGCTGGTACACGCTCCCGCCCTGGGCGACCGGATAGGTGAAGACGACTTAAGCGTTCGGACATGTGTAGAAACATGAAATTCGACACTTCCTACACAACCCACCGGGCATCATGCCCGATCGATATTAATGGCGTGATCTATGATATCGAGATCCGCTCGGGGTCGCGAACCGACAAATCACAAATCTCCGCCCTAGAAATGTCGCAGAACATCCAAAGTAGTCCCGAAAGCAGCTAAGTTGTTTTAGGTAAAATTAAGAAATAAATATTACAACAATTAAACGAAATTCTGAACGATATTATTAATTCTTTAAATGGTTAATTATATAATAAAAGTTTACATCAATGGTATTAATTAAATTAATTAAATAAAAATTTAGCTCTCTATCTTTGATTCATCAAGTATATAGTCT